TTCGTGCTTTGAGCACAGTCTTCACTCGGGACAACTTCCAGCTTCCGTAATTCGTATTATAAGAATCACAGAGTAAAAAGTAGGTTTAATGTCGATTTAGTTCAGGCTTGGCCGATAGGCAGGCCAGTATCAGTGTGACAGCTACTGTTTGACCGTAACTACCGCAGCGCTCCAAGCGGGCAAGGGGGCGCAACTCCAGGAATGTTCCCCAATTTCTTCAACAAATGCACATTGTAGGCGTTCCTGGTCAGAGTCGCCACCATCATCACTTGCTTGTCGTGGGGGGCGACTAAAGTGGGGATCAGGTGGTCCGTCTCTGTGTATTGAATGCTGCATGTTATCACATCCTATCCAAATGGTACCCGTTCTTCTGCGGTTGGGTTGAGTTGGGTTTTACGTCACATCGGCATTTTCCCAGCCAAATAGTGACGAGATCAAGTCTGAATTAATACACCTTTTAAGTACAAAGTCCAAATGAGTTTTATTTTAAAAGCATATATATTCATTACATTGTTATAAACAAGCAGAAAAATGTCAGAGCACTAAATTCAAAAGCACGCAATTCGTTATTCACATTACATAGTTACAATTTATGATACAGATCAACTTCCCTCAGGTAGTTCACAATGAGATGCCCGTTCACGTGGGTAACAGATCTTTCACATTTGTCGTATTGCGTCGAAAAGTCCACACAGTCAAGCAGTATATTCAGCAACCCATGGAATACACAATGCCATTTTAGAAAGTGGTCAAATGTAACATATGTTATATTTGGGATTACACTTTCTTAGTACAGTACAGATTCTAGTACTTTTTTGGGTTAAGTCCCATCCGGGATTCGAACCCACACCCTCAGAGTCAGGCACCTAATCGCCAGCACACAAAGTAAGACGCCTAGACCGCTCAGCCACCGCGGCTTCCACAAAAAGGAAGTGGGACAACTGGTAGTCTAGACTGCCGACTAGACTTTCGGCTTCAACGGCCGAAGGGGCGGTGGGGTAGCCTAGTGGTTAAAGCGTTGGCTCGTCACGCCGAAGACCCGGGTTCGAATCCCCACATGGGTACAATGTGTGAAGCCCATTTCTGGTGTCCCCCGCCGTGATGTTGCTGGAATATTGCTAAAAGCGGCGTAAAACCAAACTCAGTCAGTCAGTCAGTCAGTCCACGGCCGAAAGCTATGAAATACATTCCTGTCGTAACGGGATCGGGTGGCCAGGCTCGCTTACATGCTAAACACATTCATCGTATCCCAGTTGCGTAGATCGATGCTCATGCTGTTGACCACTGAAATGTCTGGTCGAGACTCGATTATTTACACCGCCACCATATAGCTGGGATGTTGCTGAGAGTGGCGTTAAACAACAAACGAAGAAATGTCAATGGCGTTGTTTGTTGTTCATGTCATCACCCACTGGTTTGCGGGTTAGAATCGATTACTTATAGGTACCGTTATACAGCTGGAATGTTGCTGACGCGGTATTAAAACATAATTTACTCAGGGGTTCAGTCAACATCGCTGGTCAGGTTCTATCTTCACGGGCATTTTAAAAAGTTCCTTTTATACAATGTCACTGCTGTTACCGAGCGGGGAAGCACCTATAGTCCGTTTGGCTTAAAGGCGGACTGATGAATTGCAATCTTACTCGAAAACTAATAAACATAAAATACTCAATGAAACGCTGATCATAATCAAAACATCATACTAACTCTGTGAGGTTTTTGTAGAATTTTTGTCCTAAAAATAAAAGAGTTGTTTAACAATCTATCATTAAAATATTGACACAGTTCCCTATTTTTACGAAGGAGGAGTGCAGAGAAAGGGACAGCCAGGTGTTCGAGAACGGATGGAGACGGCACAGCACAGGTTAATGAATAAATAACTTTGTCTGTGAACGTGCTTCTCGAACACCTGGCTTCTCGAACACCAGTTGGTATGATGTTTTGATTATGATCAGCGTTTCATTGAGTATGTTATGTTTATTAGTTTTCGAGTTAGATTTCAATTCATCGGTCCGCTTTTGAGCCAAACGGACTGTAGTAGTTTATGAGTTCGCGCGTCGCGCCAAACATCCGGGTTAATTTCCTCCACGTGGGTAGAATTACTCGCAGTGCTGTGGGTGGAATATAACTTAAGGCTACGTAAACCCCAATTCACTCAGACTTGTTTAAACCAGGAAGAGATTCAGTTTGTAACGATTCCATATTATTGTTCTAACTCAAAGATTGCGATAAATTAAGATTAATAACAGTTCAATAATCTGTAAACATTCTTACCTTGATATACACGTATTTCACCGGTAACATTACATGCAGTTCCTGTTCAGGACTGTGTAAATTCTGTGAGGGCCATTTCTGGTGTCCCCCCGTCTTATTACACATGGAATATTGCTAAAATCTTGCCAACTCAAATGCAGCTCTGATAATAGGTTGGGATATTGTTTGACACATGTTTGACTTCAATATACATAGTCAAATATAAGTGATCAAATATAAGTGATCAAATATAAGAACAGAGTACTTGTGTGTTGTTTTTATTTACGAGCGCAATTTACGTTTAAAGAGAGTACGGCCTGGAAGTAATAAAATTGATCCGTTCCCATATGACCCTTGATGTGCTAGTTTTATATAAACCTGCTTATGGTGAAGGCCTATCAAGCGCTGAGACAGATGTTAATTCATCAGTGTAAGATATAATAACTGAAATAATATTTTCATTTGGGCGAACTGATATATGTCGTCCAGGTATAACACGTGACATTGTTGATGTATGATCACTTAAGGTCTGCCCTGCTCATGTATATGATTTATTCGCCTATCGTAAAGCTTTTAGCGCACAAGCAAAATATCCAGTTGGAAAATCTGTATTAATAGCTTGCATTATGACACAACATTAAATCACTATAAACTAGATCCAGTAGGTCACCTCTTAAGGGAAGTTTTGACAGCTCAGTGGACTAAGGTACCTAACTCTTTACGAAGAGTTACGTCCCTTAGTAGTGAGGGGATGCACTTACCCTTGGTTCCTTCCCCAGATCAGCCCCAAGTATGACTGTAGTCTGTCAGCACAATGCCCTAGACTAGCGCATGGTCTCTGAAAATATATAATTTTGATTGAAACAAACACGTTTAATTTGAAAAAGAGTAACAGTGAAATCGGAGAACTCTAGAAAATCTGCGGCGTAAAACTAAACTCACCCACTCACTAGAAAATCTAGACTTCCTTTAGAGCCGTAGTGTTACAGTGGTGTCCTCTCACTTAGCCAGATTCTGTGTCAAAACAGGTCTCTCACATAGCCAGAGTGGGATTTGGCTGACTAGGGTTAGTATTTTGATAACACTTAGTCCACATGAGCCATAGTTTGTATCACAAACTAACTTAGTGAGACAAGTGAAATTTGTATTAAAGTGGGATATATTGATATGGTATTATACAAATTTCTATAACTTTTCATACATGTGTTTTGACAAAGAACTTTTAAATTCAGTTCACTCGTTTATAAATGTAACAGGCAGATTTGATCCCAAATAATTTGTTTATAGGACATATACTGTTTAACAATGATTGGCGTTAGTTTTCATTTTTACACAACATTTATATATCATTCACATTGAACTGTTAGATATGGACGCTGTACCAGTGCTCACAGGGTTTGGTTATGACATTATGTATGTTTGTTTGTGGTATAGTTAGTTGCTATGCAACAAAACAAACAAACAAACACTTTCGATTCAAATTCAGTTGAACATGCTTACCCTTTTCGCGCACACGTGTTATTTTCACTGATTTTCATAAATTTATTCAGATAATTGTCACTAGGGCTGTGTATAGGCAAATATATTGTACTGCAATGTATTGCGATTCTGGTACCCGTATTTCGATATATTGGGACCTTAAAGAGTTTGACAGTGAGTGGCACTAATTGTGCATGTCAATCCTATTTCGTACATTACAAGTCCCCAAATATACATGTTATGGTTCTGATAACACCAAATTAGGTTACAATCAGGGATCTATTTTCTTTTTTGAATTTGTGGTATTACAATAGGCCATTTTGTCATTGAATAATGAAGGAAAACATTTGCTGTGAATGAAAGAATGTGTAGATTTTAACTTAAACCATAAAGATAATCACAAAAGATCATATATGTTCTTTACCCGATATACCGTCTCTCAGAAAAAATATTGCATATACGTATCGTTTGAAAAGCGTATTGCAATATACCAGTATATATTACAATACGCTTTTCAAACGTATTGCACACTAGACCGAGACATAGTTGCAGCACATTAAAATTCGACCTGTTTCGGGTTAACTTATCTGATATTATTGCCTGTGAATGTGGCGCCATGCGAAAATTTATTTCACTTCTTTTTCTTTATATGATGACTTTAGGAAGCCGCTATTCTCAGATATTGATAGATTTGGAGGCCAAAAAACACTGCACACTATCTTATTTGGTGACCCTAACCTAAACGATTTGATGAATAAACATATTCCTGTCTGTTCACAAGTATATAGAAACTACAAACAGATTCACCAGCTAATACAATATTATTGTTTCCATTTATATTCTAAATGATATATTGTATAATATTTGCAAATGTATGACATGCACTATTTTCACTTTTCCCCTTTCAAGCACACTGTATATATCCTGTAAAACACTGTATATATATATCCCAACACTGCATATGTTTTCCCCAATGTCAAGCTTCCACTGTAAATTGTACATTGTATTATGTAATAATATGTTTAATTGTATTTAGGGAGAAGGCGATCATAAGTGGGGCACTTGTGCCTAATCCCGTTGTCATTTGGACAATAAAATATGTTTAAACCAAAATCGGTATATCGGTAATACCGTGCAGTCCTAATTGTCACCACAACTTTCTTCTATACCAGATGACATCGGAATCGTTAGAAAAACGAGACTTTCTTGACCGTCGGCTTTGTATATTTGTTGTGAAAAATCTTATTTTTATATGACATACATTGCAGGTATCGCCATGTCGAGGCTGGCTACAGACGAATGAGACCATCAGGAATATGACAGCCGTGGTGCGTAATTTACATGCAGTAAACTCGGTGTATTTATTTACTTTAAAAACCGCATTTATTCTAAAAATGTATCACATGAACTCACGGCTCCATCACTTAGGTAAATGAGCGTGGTTCGTTCTCCCGTTCGGACCATCGAAAAGGATAGTACTTGCTCAAACCCTGCCTGGTTTTCTGCATAGAGAGATTAAACAAACTCTGGTATTCTTGGAATGCCCCTACTGTGTCTTTAACTTTGTACCAATTAATCAGTGCGTCTTCTCGTGCAGCGTGCCGCCGAGTTGAGCAATGTCCTTAAAGACATCGCCACCACCGAGAAGTCTGCCTTCTCCGCCTTCAACATCACCTACATGGACTGCCCCTTCGAGCAAGGTAGGCGTAGCGGGGGTATTGTAGCTTTGTATGTACAGACATCAAATTTGTTTTCAAAATGTGCTTCTTTGATATTTAATTAGTAATTACAAATTTATTTAAAATTGTAATTTAGTTTTGAAATTATGTATAACTTAAATATATTTAACTGTAGCGAATATATTTACAAATATAAGTGTTATTTCCATTATTTTCTCGGAATCTGATAAAGATGGTTTAACATCTGACAGTTGATTGAGTCATAGACTTAATGAACAGTACTGCTTATCGCTGCTGAAAAAACCCGTCTTGCATATGGTTTCATTGAAAATACGCTGTTTTAGTCTTACAGCATGATACCCGTGAAGATCCGGGTCAGAATTGATCTTCAGTAACTCGTGCTTGTCGTAAGAGGCGATTCCTGGCTGGGACTCAACCCCCCAAAAGTACTAGAATCTGTACTTTATTCAGAATTCTTATTCGTAGTTGTTGTTGTCTCCTATCATAAGTTGAGCAGTATAGATCATCTTTCTCTTCTTGCATGCTGCATGTCATATCGCCTGTTGCATCTTGTATACTACCTCACTTTTTAATATGATTTAATTTTTTTAATTGGAGAGGGGGTGTTGGGTGGGGTTGGGGTGGGGGTGGGGGGATGACAACCATTCTTGGCATGAGTATATGTCATTTTCAGCTCTTTATACTACATATTGCCATATTCAAAATATTAAGAACGCAATTTTTGCAGAGCATTTTCTGACGATATTGACTTAACAGATATAATTATACATTTGAAACGAAATAAATCACAAACGAGGGTCAGTGTTTTCGTTGGTGTGGTCGGGTTTGAATTTTCTTGGTAACGTCAGTACACTAACACAGAATGGAGGAAGAAATTGCTTTCGAAATTGAAATTATTTCACGTGTTTGAAAATGAAGGTGGATCGATATTACCCACTATCGTGTAATATTTGATCAGTGTGAGGGTTTAATTCCCAATTTCCACACTGCAATAGTCTCTCTCCCAGACCCTAGAGAGTATATTAAAAATGAGTCGAACTCTCATCTATATTGATTGGGCAAGACTTTACTGCCTGTCAGCTCCTGTAATCAAGAACCAATATTGGCTCCTTGTAGAGTTTTAATTTTTTTAATTTAAAAAAAATGTTTTTGTAATGTATATTTGTAACTGAGATCGTTTCATTTCTGGAGCTAATTGTCACCCTATCACTTACCCTAAAGACATCCCGCCGTGATGTTGCTGGAATATTGCTAGAAGCGGCGTAAAACCAAACTCAGTCAGTCAGTCAGTCATAAATACATAACTGGTGACTAAACCACAGACTGAAGTGACATCAGACAGTCATACTGTATGCATACTTGATGTTCTTCTAAAACTGAGTGGAAAGAAATGGATGGCATCACCGATATTATTTCTCGTCATTTCGTGATACGTATACACGTCTGCTGGGTGGGTTCTCAAGCTATTGATGACTGGTTGACAGGACCTAGATTCAATTTGTGTGTATAGTCCTATGATATGAATGCGATTCCGCTTCTTCAAAGAAGACAGAAGAAAATTATATGGTTGGAAAAGAAAACCCGATGTTCCCATACCGTTCACCCAAAGGTCTACTATTGAGGTTTTATGGGGAAAGAGGTATAAAATATACATTTTCTCTATGAAAGATTTTGTTATCATATAGACCGATTCTTATTAGGTCCATGTAATAGCGTATCTGTCTGTCTGTCTGCCATCACGGTGTGTATACTTCTCCTTCATAAACTACTTGCATACCTCAACTCTATAGCTTCTTACAACCGCATTTCCTCGATAAAACTCCCAAAGAATATTACATTAAATGAAAAACACCTGCATCACTTTGGGCTGTCTTCCAGCGTTAAGCGTGACACGTCGTGACATAACCGAAATACTGGTATAAGCCACGATGATGCCTACTCACTCATTCACTCACTCACTCACTAAGTGGCACTGCTTCTATGTTTAATACCCGTGAAGATCCGGGTTAGAATATTGATCTTCAGTAACCTATGCTTGTCGCAAGAGGCGACTAACGGTATCAGGTGGTCAGGCTCACTGACTAGGTTGACACATGTCATCGGTTCCCAATTGCGCAGATCGATGCTCATGCTGTTGATCACTGGGTTTTCTGGTCCAGACTCGATTATTTACAGACCGCCGCCATATAGCTGGAATATTGCTGAGTGCGGCGTAAAACTAAGCTCATTCACTCACTCTTATAGCATGCTCTAAAATATATACTGACGTTCAAAAGAAAGTATACACCCATGTGTGATGGTGGATAAAATGGAACAAGCACTTAGCAAGAAATGGTTATGGTTTACACCTTACGTTTCCTCTGATTCACTCACTCTATGTTTAATGTGCGAAATCAGCTGTCGCTTGAAGCGCTCGGAAAATCATCTATGTGATGCTGCGTTTAGCAATACTAACGCTTCAGTCGACTAAAATATTGTACTGTTGAACATCGCTTGTACTAACGCTTTGGATGGATGCGCCAGAATAGACGCTCTTTAATAGTCTGGCTACTGCTGGCTAACTCACGTGCCTTTTCTTTCTTCTCTGTCACGTGATCTGACACGTGTTGCCACTTTATTTGGATAACGCATCTTCCACGTGGTTTCAGAGATTGCTAATTGGGTAAAACAGGGCGGAGAAGCATGGCAACTCATTGAACCGATAGATGGTTTCCATGCCAACCAGGTAAGTACATGATATTCACTTATATAAGATTTGTCATGAACTCGGATTCATAAACTGGGTCACGCAACCTGAATCATACCACCTGACTTAAACACCTTGACTTCTTTGATTGGCATTCTAGAAGTTGGGTAGATGAAGAATGAGGACTGTTTTTATGGATATACAACTTCTTTATTCTGTATAGGCGACGTTTCGACATAGATTTTAATATCGTTGTCAAGCAAGTTGTAGTTGTCACTTGCTTGACAACGATATTAAAATCTATGTCGAAACGTCACTTGCTTGACAACGATATTAGAATCTATGTCGAAACGTCGCCTATACAGAATAAAGAAGTTGTATATCCATAAAAACAGTCCTCATTCTTCATCTACCCAACTTCTAGAATGCCAATCAAAGACGTCATGATTCAAGGTGTCTGGATCAGGTGTTTAAGTCAGGTGGTATGATTCAGGTTGCGTGACCCAGAAGCATATACCCTGATTCGAACACATTGAATCATACACGTAGAATCATACACCCTCATTCGTACACATTGAATCAGACACGTAGCGCCATACACCCTCATTCGTACACATTGAACCATACACGTAGCGTCATACGCCCTGATTCGTACACATTGAACCATACACGTAGCGTCATACGCCCTGGTTCGTACACATTGAACCATACACGTAGAGTCATACACCCTGGTTCGTACACATTGAACCATACACGTAGCGTCATACGCCCTGATTCGTACACATTGAACCATACACGTAGCGTCATACACCCTGATTCGTTCACATTGAATCGTACACGTAAAATTATATACCCTGATTCGTACACATTGAATCATACACGTTGCGCCATACACCCTGATTCGTTCACATTGAATCATACACGTAGAACCATACACCCTGATTCGTACACATTGAATCATACAGCACGTAAAGTCATACACCCTGATTTGTACGCATTGAATCATACACGTAGAATCATACACCCTGATTCACACACCTTGAATCATACACGTAGAATCATACACCCACATTCACACACTTTGAATCATACACGTAGAATCATACACCCACATTCACACACTTTGAATCATACACGTAGAGTCATACACCCTGATTCGTACACATTGAATCAAATTCTCTGAATCATCTACCTTTGAATCATGCCCTACATCATATAATCAAAACTATGCAACCTGATTCACACGCCTTGAATGATACTCTCTGAATCATATACCCTGGTATACCCCTATGAATGCATTACTTGAAACTGATTCAACGTCCATTCTCGGTGTTTTGTTAAAATGGGTCTTAAAATTAAATATTGGAAACAATACATACCTTAACGTGGGATACCTTGACAGGTGCCAAGTAAAAGGGTTAATATTACGATTGCCTGCAATAACGACCATATTCTCAAATACATAATCAGTATTCTCAAATACAAATTACAAATTTCAGATGGGCCAGGCGTTATATGCGGCTGCAATATGGAAACATTTGGAGGCAAACGTTACCTTCGCTATCGGGTCCCTTAATCCCAACAACGACAAGATACGTGACATCTTCGGCAATCAGGGCGGATATTAAGATTTCACGTGTAGACTGAGTTGTCGCAGTGTTGCGGACACCCTGTGGACGACAGCAGCAATAGAATAACGACATCCGTACATGCGTTCAATATATCAGTCAATCTTTGATTCCAGTGGACAATTTTAGTCAAAACCTCTCAGGAAACTTTACGTGATATACAACCGACAATATGATGGTGTCTCTTTATATCCTTCATGTCTGTGATAATAGGTTCGCGTGCACTTACAGCCATGCGTCAATAGTGTACATTGTATGTAAGCCGTTCGTGTATATAAAGTTAAGTTTGAAAAATATGTGTTTGTTTTGTGTATTGGCTGCTGCTGCTGATGATGATGCTGTCATCAGGACGTTTTGTCGCCATCACAGGCAAACTGTAGCGCAAACAGGGTTGCGCAACAAAGAGAAAATGACCAGTCTTCGTATATGCGAGCGAAGCGAGGCAAACTGTATTCGCTCGCAGATACGAAGACTGGTCATTTTCTCTTTGTTGCGCAACCCTCTTTGCGCTACAGTTTGCCTGTGTCTCCATCATCTCATAGTTAGACTTCCTGTGATGCCAGGGTAACCGTCATGTTTTGAGGGAACCCTTAAAACACACTCTGCCCCCCAAAGAAACGAATAAATGTATTTGCATGAGTTTAATCAGTCAACTTTAAAGCGAGATATCACATGTAATTCTCGATCAGTTACAGCCAAATTTCACAGTATAAAGGATCAAATGTCGGTTAACAGGTACAGCTAATAAAAGGTCCATTAAATGAACGCGTCCGGTCCCAGTTGGGCCTTGTCTTTATTGTCTGTTGTGGCCACCATGAGTCCCCAAAACTATTCTACGTTTACGTCTCGTTCCATGTACACAAGCCAACATTATGTTGGCGAAAGTATAACAATCAAACACTAATTTTGAAATTTCATATATCAGTATCACCTATGCGTTGTATTTTTGGGAGAGTATATTTCAAGTTGAGATTTTGGTGAACGTGTGACGCGATAACCGTTTATGTTTCTGGGGAAAAGATGTGCAGGTTGAGGGATTGTACAAAACATGTCAAGTCAATATGGCCCATTTAATCCCACAGTCCCACTTCGACCAATTTACACACATTGATTGATATTGTTTAAATGGATGGAGGAACCAGTATCTCCATTACAGTGGTATATAGCTAGAGCAAATGTTATCAAGAACCCTACTGAAATGAGTTTTGGTCAATAGGTCATGGTACTTTATAACGCACCTAGCTCATATAAAGCACCTGACCCGAGCACATATCACGTGCGTTAAGACATTCCAGCCAGAACCTACAGGTCCAATATATTTATGTTAGCTTAAAACGGAATCCTTAAATTAAACAGGGGAGGTGTATCTGTGGTTTTACAACTTACACAAGGTTGAATGATAATAATTGATGTTAATGACAGGAGATTGATGTTTATACATAGTTGAATGTTGACACTTGATGTTTATTCATTGTAGAATGTTATAGACTGATGTTTACACAAGCTTAAATGATGTCAGATTGATATTATACAAGGTTGAATGATGATAGAATCAGGTTTATACAATGAATGATGCGGTTTACACAAGATGAATGATAATATATTGGTGTTTATACAAGGTTGAATTTTGAAATATTGATGTTAATGTAATGTTGAATGATGACAGATTGGTATTGATGAAAGATGTTTTCACAAGGTTGAATTGATGATAGATTGGTGTTTATACCACAAGTAAGTTAACAGGTAACCTGAATGATGAACATATCGGAATTAACACACCATTAAGAACAGTTATTGACATGGACAGTCATCAGTCTTACCTGTCGCTTCAATTCAGCTTTGTATAAGCATCACATCACCTTTTTACCAATAAGTTCTGAACATCTATTCCTTGATAACGCCGTTAGTTTCTACCCCAAAGCGTGGCATTCATTGTAACCGTACACTCAAAGAACTTTGTTCATAATACCAAATTCTAAATTCCACTAAAGATAGTTAAACTATACCAAAGGAAACAAAATACGGAACGCATGGAAGTACGCGTGTTCCTATATTCATTTCCGGGTTTCTTCCCATGCTTTGTATTGCACTGTTGGTGAAACTCTAGGAATAAATAAGGACAACTTTTACTTTCACGTTTTGCCTTATTCGTTTCCATCAGTATGTAAATTATTTTGCCATACATTTTGTATAGAATCCGATCAGTTCGCAAGAAAAACCTGTTTACATGCATATGACATGTTCAGCTACAAAACTATGTTCAAAATGCACAGTACTGATGCTGACAAATCATTGTATGCTCCCGGTTTCCAAGCTAACCGATGGCAGAGGCTAGTCTGGGTCTGCCTGCGTTATATTGACTTACTAACTTGGTGCCAGCTCTTCACTCATATCGTTCAAGGTATTACGTCGTGACGGTGTCAGGGGACTTTGCGTGCAGTCAGTGGTAGATGTTATAAGTTGACTTTCAAAACACGACCGGATAATGAAACTCATTTGGGATTATCAGATGTTTTGCTCATAGATCAATGTGTCATAAAGAAATCGGAATCGATACATGTCAGATGAATCAGTATATTTTATCCTCACCTGAGTGTTCACGGTATTCTGTTGTCACTCGGGACTGATTCATTGTCGTTAGGGTAACGGCTCACCTAGTTATCTGTGGCTCCGAAGCAGAGTTGTGTCCGTGGACAAGAGATGTTTTTAAATGGTTTGTTCGAATTTCGAATCTAGACTTGCCCCGATTATGTTTCCAGGTTATAAGCACCATGCCCCTCCACGTGGGCTTTAAACAAAAGCTGTAACGGTAAAAGACCTGTAATACTTCGAGCTCCCTCCCACATTGATTTGACATACCATGATTTAAATGGAAGAAGAAGAAGAAGTTTATTCAGTAGTATCTGGGCCATAAGGCCTATAATACAGTTGACAGATACAATATATATTTCACGTGATTTAAATGGAGCGTTAATGGAAGCAGTGTTAAACTCTCCCCACTAAGCCTCAAGCTGGGGATTGTTGGGTTATATTGGTCGACCAGAATGGATCATGTGGTCAGTCTTGGTGACTTGATTGTTCGTTTCCCGATGGTTTTGATAGTTGTTCATGCTTTCACTCATTGGTTTGCTTCCTTCATCGTGTTATCTGTTTGGTGAGGTCAATTTGGGTTTAACGTCGTGCTTGAGAATATTTCGCTCATATGACGACGTGCATGCGCGTGTATGTGTATGTGCGGCTGCTTGTACTAGCCCAGACTTAAGCTGGTTTTATAGTGCTAGCCCACTGAGGTACCATGCCGCAGTGAAGCATGAATACCCCACTCAGACACATTATATTGACTCCGAGCCGACCAGTTCTTGTTGTACCCATTAATGCCGAGCGCCAGGCAGGGACCAACAAGTACCATATTTTAGCGTCTTTTGGTATGACGCGGTCGGGGATCGAACCCGCGACCTTCCGCTCTCTGGGCGGACGCTCTAACCACTACACCACGGAGGCGGTCTGTTATCTATTTGGAGCAGTGGGGTGGCTAAAGCGGTTACTCTCCACGCCGAATAACGGGTTCGATTCCCCACATGGGTACAATGTGTGAAACAGAAAATTTCTGGTGTTTCTCGCCATGATATTGCTTGAATCCTGCTAAAACGTCGTTAAGCTATACTCACTGTCATCACTTCATCTCTCTGTCATTAACACACACACACACCCTCCCCCACCCCGTCCATCTGCTGAGTTCTAAATATAGTTAACTCAAGAGAAGTGCTAACATCCCAACAAAGCGAAATTACCCGGATTTACATTTATAAGATAAGGTGATTATTCATATAATGCTTAAAGAGTCGCTGCTGTGTCTCCTTGTCAGGCGACCGCCTCCGTGGTGTAGTGGTTAGAGCGTCCGCCCGGAGAGCGGAAGGTCGCGGGTTTGATCCCCGGCCGCGTCATACCAAAAGACGTTCAAATATGGTACTTGATGGTCCCTGCCTGGCGCTCGGCATTAATGGTTACAACAAGGACTGGTCGGCTCGGAGTCAGTATAATGTGTCTGAGTGGGGTATTCATGCTTCACTGTGGCATGGTATCTCAGTGGGCTAGCACTATAAAACCAGCTTAAGTCTGGGGTAGTACAAGCAGCCGCACATACACATACACACACATGCACGTCGTCATATGAGCGAAATATTCTCAAGCACGACGTTAAACCCAATTTCACCTCACCTCACCTCACCTCACCTCACCTGACCCTTGTCAGGCTCGCTGATTTGTTTGATGCATGTCATCGTATCCCAGCTGCGTTGATGGATGCTCATGTTGTCAATCACTGGATTGTCTGGCCCAGACTCGATTATTTACAGACCACCGTCATTTAGCTGGAATACTGCTGAGAGCGGCGCTAAGCGGCCAACGAACAACACGACCAGGAGGCCTGAACTGTAAACGTCTAAGTCCTGTCTCCTGACATAACGTGACATGACTTAATGCTAACTAATATCGTTTACCTGATTGGACCCATTACAAAGGATCACCCATTCCAATATGTTATGTTACAGTGTTAAATGAGTGGAAAAAACAAGGAGGGGAACCATGGCAACTAATTGAACCCATAGATGGTTTCCATGCCAACCAGGTAAGTATACGTTTGTTATCTTTCGGTTTGAAAAAAGACCAAACATAAATTTACTGGTTTGTCTCGGTTAATTGTAACCCGTCACGATGAAGCTGGAAAATCGATTACCGCGGACCTTAATATTTGGCATTGTCAGTCAATCAGTTCATTGACTATCGCAACAGCATGAGTAAGTAAGTTTTACGCCGCTTTTAGCAATTCTCGAAATTTCACGGCGGGGACACCAGATACAACTGTTTGACCGGTGCTGAGGGATTCTGACGGATGCTGACGGAGTCCAGTCGCTACCCATGAGTCCAAGTCTTTGTAAAAGGATTTCATATGACTCTCATGTGTGCTATTCTACAATTTAAGGTTTATTCGCTTTTCAACCCGATTATGTGTTTAGATTTGACAGCTTGGTCGTTGGTGCCATTAAAGTGGTAAATGTCTATCACCTGCAAAAATAATGTTCAAAACGGCTTTATTCCGACTCATGCTCTTCTAAAACCGGAAATGAGGTAGCTCAGTGGGTAAGGCGTTCGCATTATAATCCGAGTTCGATTGCCTGTATGGTTGCAGTGTGTGTCGAGCCTGTTGCTGGTGTTACGGCTTGAATGTTTGAAAAGTCTGCGTAAAATTCCTCTCACCCAGTTCTTTAACCAACTACATCTTTTCCATTGGCAGCAAGGCCAGGCTCTGATAGCCGGCGCAATTTGGGAGGACATTTTGCAGACGAGTCCTGCAGCGCTGGGCCAACTGAACCGAAACAACGCTGTCATACAGAAGATATTCGGCAACCAGGGTGGATATTGAGGGTTGACGTCACTTCCGTTTGCATTAACCCGCTTATTTGAAATGGTAGTATGTGATATAAGGATCACACAGTGACACATACTAAAGGATTCGCTGGTTATTGGCATGTTCAAGACCTTCAAAATTGATATCATATTTTTGATAGATGGACTATTTAGATTCAGGGATAGGCCTGGGAGTTTTGTTCTTGTACAAACATATAACCAGCTATTTTATTTAACAAAATACTCGTTGTGCAGATTTATATATCTTTACGTAACTCTGCTATTCCTGTGTTCGGAACCAGTCTGTGATACTTGGTCTGTCTGTACTTTACCCGTGCCTGTGAAAGACGTTAATTTCATTTGCTCTACTTCCAGCCATTTGTGGTTTCTTGTGCAATACTATTACGCCAGTTCAGTGTTTCATGTGCAACACCTGTGATATATGACAGACCACGTGACCGGTGTCCACATGGCTTCACAGTGTAATTGATTTAAAATATGTTGTTATTTCAAGATTGTGTTTTGTTGTTAATTGTTAATTGGTTAATGTGACATTAATTTATATGGTATCCCACTAACCTGTGAAGATCCGGGTTAGAATTGATCCTCAGCAACACATGCTTGTCGTAAAGGGAGGGTGGTCAGGCTTGCTGACTTGGTTGTGTTACGGTTTAGAAATTACCGAGATAAAAGGCTTGTGAGTCTCCTTTAAACAAGCCAAATGGAACGCAAACAAGTATATAACATTCAACAATATATTGAATAAACAATAAACAAGGTTACAATGAATGACAATACAATACTATTGAGTGACAAATCTAAAATATTAACTCACCAAAGTTTTGATATTCACAGTAAAAACAGATGTACTGGTAGTGAAGGCTTTTGACAGCTGTGAAAGTTTAGTATAGACTGTAGAAGAGGCCTCCTGAGCGGTTGGTCTTAAAACGCTGATGTTAGCAGACAGTCGAACTTAAATCCAAAGTAGTAGTGACTCCCCCCATACATCTCATGATCAGCTACCATCCCTTATATACCTATTATACAGTTCTGGAGAATTCTGACAAAATCTAGTCACAACACAATCTTCTAGAAATTACTCACAGCTTATAGCATCATACCGAAGACCGGAAGCACAACAAATAGGAGGTAACTCCCGAACCCACACTTAACAGGTGAAAAAACACCTAATTTCAAGGTGAGAGTTCAAATCCACACTCAGCGCTTTAAACTTTTGTGACCTATAACAACTAAAAGTTAATTAATGTGAAATTTTTAATTAACGAAAACACATCCTCAAGACAGCTGTCACATGTCATCGTTTCCCAATTGCGTAGATCGATGCTCATGCTGTTGATCACTGGATTGTCTGATCCTGATTCGATTATTTACAGAACGCCGCCATATAGCTGGATAGTTTCCCGAGATCGGCGTTAAACATCAAACAAACGTTATCCCACTGCTAGTGTCCCCGCCGTGATATTGTTGGAATGACGACGAAAGCTCCGTTAAACAATGCTCATACACCCTGTATATCTCTCTGTTTTAATGGGGAGGGAGAACCCGTGCTCATGGGTTTCATCAAAGTGAGACGTTTGGCTTTCCTCCCATATTTAGTTAGGGCGGTGGGGTAGTGAAGTAGTTAATGCGGTTGCTGCACACGCCGAGGACCTGGGTTCGATTCCACACATAAGTACATTGTCTGAAGCCCATTCTTAGTGTCCTCTGTTGCTGGATTATTCCTAATAGCGGCTTACAATTACAGTCACTTCCACATTTAGCTACCACGCCGTTATATAACGGGAATACAGGCTATAAGCGACCTAGAGTAGTTGACCGTAAGTGAGTCATCATTAGTACAATTTCCATAGACTTGCATGTTTAACATATGTTATATTTGGTATTACACTTTCTCAGTAATGTCATGTGTATTTCATGACTTGTATGTTTATTAACTATTGCAAGAATAATTTTCATAACTTGAGTCATTTTATTTTGATATTTTGCAAACATCTTGGAAATCATCTTCAGCTACGTGTACATAATTTTCTTTCATCTTTCCGTTGATTAGGCATCGAATGACACCTGATAAAGCACCACATATAAGTACAACTTAATTTTAATCTTTCCCATAGACAGCCATGTTAAACCTGACATAATTTTTGTCACTTTTGCGTGAAAATGCCTTCTACAAGTTTACCATAAAACGTATAAAAAGCTTTACTTAGGTTGAATGTTGTAAACTTGTAAACATCCTGTGCGCAAGAGTCATATATTTGTTTGAAAGCTTGATAAAAGGATCAAGCTCGATTGAACCTCAAAGTTGTGTAATAGAAGTCCCAATTGCCGGGGCTCTTGGAATATTGCTCACTACAAAGGTACAAGTGAATATTGTAAAGCTGAAATCATCGCTCTTGTCATACCTTGTCAGCCAGGTGAGGATTTGTTGTTCATTTCTGTTATCTTCATTTCTGTAGCCATTCTTCCGCCAATTTACACTCCTGAACTTGAGATAACTGGGACCGCCTCAACTGTTTCTTCTAAGATCCTCAGCTATAAGGGCAAAGCCGCCAGTAGTACTTTATCAGGCGATAAAGTACACGTTTTGTAATACGTCACACTGTACTGACGTCGCTACGTCATTCTCGTCATCAAACGTACCCTTGGTAACCGACGTCACGATGCATGTCAGCACTCTCCTGCCCAGAGTTCCATGCGGCCAACCAGGGTCCCGTTGTACAAAACAACCTTTACTAAGGTTGAACTTAGTCACTAAGGTTAACCTTAAGGTAACCTTAACATAAAGTTTCGACCGTTGCACAAATCTACCTTTGGTCAACCTTAACTGTGGAAGGATACTTAGCGGCAACCTTAGCTAAGGTTGAAATCTTTTGTGCCGGAGACTCGAAATTGTGTCCTAAGTTACGGTTGTGAGTTATCTCCCCTGCTCGCATCAGCAGACGACTAGTGTTATCAATACTTCGACATGGCAGAGGTGAGGTGAGGTAAAATTGGGTTTAACGTCGTGCTTGAGAATATTTCGCTCATATGACGACGTGCATGCGTGTGTATGTGTATGTGCGGCTGCTTGTACTAGCCCAGACTAAAGCTGGTTTTATAGTGCTAGCCCACTGAGATACCATGCCGCAGTGAAGCATGAATACCCCACTCAGACACATTATACTGACTCCGAGCCAACCAGTCCTTGTTGTACCCATTAATGCCGAGCGCCAGGCAGGGACCAACAAGTACCATATTTTAACGTCTTTTGGTATGACACGGTCGGGGATCGAACCCGCGACCTTCCGCTCTCCGGGCGGACGGTCTAACCACAACACCACGGAGGCGGTCTCGACATGGCAGAGGCGTCTTCTAGCAGTGCACGAAAACGGAACAGGTTGTCAAACTATACATCGAGCGAGCTAACAATGCTGGCCGATGAGGTGAAGTGTCGAAGCCACATCTTGTTTGGATCTTTTTCTTCATCCATTACCAACCAAACTAAACTGAAGGAGTGGGATGCAATAGCTGCAAAGTAAGTGTCTTCATTTTTTCATCTTAGAAGAGAGCATTGAATGTTTTGTAAACACACGCTTGTCGATGTATCATTTATATTATGATACTACGTTCAAAATCATCATCCCCCCGGGCATTCTAAGGTTGTTTTGTACAACGGGACTAAGCATAGTACCTCTGCTCGGCTAGAAAGATGTGATCACTCTTGCAGTGGAAACATTACGTTCAAGTTTTCGGACGGAACAAATGTCTCAGTTCGACTCACAACTAAACAGCCATGTTCGCTAAAAAACCCTATATCCACAGTCCCACAATGCATCTGTGGAATGTCGGATGACTACTCAGCTTCATGTAGATTGTTCTAAACTTACGTTGGTAGTAGAAATGCCCCATATAGTTTACGATAATCACTGATGCAATTAAAATGTAAATTAGCGGAAGGGCAATGACCACTCATCACCTTACCGGTCTTTACAATTTGGGTATCTTCTTGGGGTGACTATTGAGGGGAAAACAGCAACATACGATTGCGATAGCGATAGTCTATTGCCACCAACTATTGCAATACTATTGCAATAGTTTTTCTCTCCTTGAATTGTCTCATTTAAAGTCATTTCCCGAATGAATGTATAAATTATATGAAATAAAAACAAGTCGAGGTAGTTTCAGTCTCTTTTAATACCTGACAAGAAACTTGAAACCCAGATCAAGTAAACAGTTAAAGCACAAAATTTTTGTTATTCACAATTTCAAACTGAGAGTCGCATCCGTGTTTGCCGCCATGTTTATTTATGAGGTAACAGGGGCGGATAACTCTAAATCAAAGTGAAAGAATCTGGTACTTACTGTATTATGCGCTGCGCATTTATCAACGGAAGTCAATTACTAATATCAATAGTCACACATAATATCGATGCATTGATAGTTTTTCCTTTCTGACATGGATTAATTGCTATCGGAGACTCAACAACTGCAATCCATCGACAGTTCGATGCATCGTTACAGCACAAGTATCTTCATACCAGGTGGGAAGTTTTAGCTATTCTACATATGCCCATGTGTCTGTTTGTTGTCTGACACCGCACTCATTGTATTTGAGCTATAATAATCGAGTTTGTACTAGACAATCCGATGATTGTCATCATAAACATCGATATATCTGACCACCCGACTTTTACGGTCATCTCTTCAACAAAATTGGTTTGAGATGGCTAATTCGAATCCAGTCATTGACGGGACCACATCCATGAGAATTCGTGGTGGCATCCACAAAGACGATACCGATGAGTGAGTTTAGTTTTAGGCCGCTTTTAGCAATATTCCAGCAATATCACGGCGTGGCAAAACAACAAATGGACTCATGTGGAAAATCGAACCCGGGTCTTCCTCGCGTCGAGCGAACGCCTTAACCACTAGGCCACCCTACCGCCCCCAACACCATCGAGATGACTGAATGGCCGTTATAGTAATTTTTTCATTCATGATTCCGCAGGTATTGAACAGGCTCAATGGCTCACAGTTCATTCTATTGTAGCCATATCTGACTGTTTAAGAAAAATGTCCGATTAGTTTAAAACTGACTTTTAAAAATAGAATTCTAACCATGTCCTTTCCGCCGCCGTACTATGTGCCCTGAACCCACAAGAACTCCCCTTCAGACTGTATTCATCGTGTTTCAGATAGTGCGAGGACAGGCGTGTATTTGCATACAAATAATATGTAATCTCTTCCCCTCGAGGAGTTGAAGCCGCAATGTAAATACAACGTCTTTCTTGGATGTTAGCTTTGATTGGTGACTGTGTTTGATATGAAAGAGTTCGTTTATGGTTTTGACGTTCACATTCAGTTTCTCTTATCCTCAGGAACACGAGTATTTGGCATTTGAAATAACCAGATTACGAGTGCTATTGACCTATAATGACGTGCTATGGCATATGGGAGCACGGGTTGCCTAGTCGTCAGAGGGTTATTATTTACTGTTCAGAGCTGCCTCCCTTTGACGCCCCAGGCGCCTATGATTATGGGTTCGCATCACGGTTCGTGCCGATTATGTTTCTACGTTCGCTTGTGAGTTTCACCAAAGTTAGGCGCGTAGCAAGCCACTTTTTTTGTGTAAGCCCGACAGGCTGCAAAGCTTTATATCTAGATAGTAGTGAGGGCTTGCCCGACCTTTCTGGCAACAGTCATGTGTAAGCCCGGGCTTCTTTTTCATAATGGTAGCCACGCCCCTGAAAGTGGTTCACGTTTGAGACCTGCATCACTTCCGGATTTCCTCCCACATTAAGCTATGACAGTGATGTAATGTAATTTCAAGTACTTACCGACACCTCATTATATTCAGCATATATTTTGTAGGTTCGGTTTAATGCTGTTTCGAACAGGGTTCGGGGTATCACAGATATCGTTGGTAAGAAAGAAACGATTGAAAAGTTGCAAGTCTCTGACGAACACAATATGGTGCCGACTAACCAGGAACCATGATCAGGACGGTTCTGAGATTCGAACCTACCAATTCTGAATTATTAATGATGAACCCAAGTATGCACAGAGAACTGTAACGTTTACTATAAATCTTATTAAAAGCACGAAATATTACTTCTGAAATGAAAATAGAGTTGAGATATTCCTGTTACCAAAAACAACAAACAAACATATCTAGCTAAGACATTTTATTGTATACTTTAACTTATCTACAGTTAAATCTCTCAACAATAAAGACTCTAGGCTACTTCATCATCACAAAATATATCTGATCTTGGAAACCGAACCGGCATCATCGGTTGAAATGTTTAAGTTAAATTTTGCTAAAGCCAAACTACTTGTTTCCAGCATCTCTTATTTCCATGGAAACGACAACCATGATGGCTCTGTAAAGATACAGCTGTATGGTACTTGTAAGATGAGTTTGTTGGGGGAATGGATCGTACCTTATTCAGCACCGTGCTTTCATAGCTACAGCATAGGTAACCCGTGAAGGTCCGGGTTAGAATATTGGGCTTCAGTAACCCATGCTTGTCGTAAGAGGCGACTAACGGGATCGGGTGGTCAGGCTCGCTGACTTGGTTGACACATGTCATCGGATCCCAGTTGCGCAGATCGATGCTCATGCTGTTGATCACTGGATTGTCTGGTCCAGACTCGATTATTTACAGACCGCCGCCATATAGCTGGGATATTGCTGTGTGCGGCGTAAAACTCAACTCACTCACTCACTACAGCATAGGTACAGATATCATACATTGGTAGTTTACAGTAGAATCCATTCTACCACATACCACAGACGTGATCGACAGCCGTCTTAATCTGTACCTTCATCTAAACTGATTCTATACTATGGCTGTATATACTATTTACTATTCTGGTGTACATGTCTAAACTATGGACGTACAATATGCTTTTGTTTCTCATCAGTGACCGACCCTAAAAAGCGTCAACGATTTAATTTAAAAAAAAAAAATCCGCTCCTACATTTCAATTTCTACCTTAAACTTTCGAACTAATCAGCCCGACGACGAATTCATTACATCTCTATCTACCCTATTTTAAAAGAATGATGGGAAACACTATTTTTGTGTAGAACTACAGAAAATCTAATTTCTTAGTCCAAGTATCAGTATATGACAAATAATGAACGCTAATTGTCATACCAGTCACATGATTGACTTAAGGTAGTCGGCCCGAAAACATAATATCTATACGATATTCTATACGATTCTATTAATTCCTCCGATGAGTATATACTATGCAGTTCTACCACACTACACAGGTACGGCGACTCAGTCGTGAAAACACCGCTGTGAATTGCGTCCCAAAGGCGTGCTCGACGGTTCGAATCCAGGACACACGATCCTGGTTTGCCTGTACCATACCCGTGGGTTTTACCAAAGTGCAAGTATCACATGTGGCTTGTCTCCCAGGTAACGCTGACACGCCGTGACGTAGTCCAGATACTCTTTATACGGCGGCGTTAACGCAAACTATGCGGCATAAAACAATACTCATTCATTCATTAATACAAATTAACTCGGTGTTATATCACAGCCCTGTAGTATCACAGGCAGGCCTTTCACACAACACAACCTCGGTATATCACAATATCAGCGGCGGTGGGGTAGCCCAGTGGTTAAAGTGTTCGCTCGTCACGCCAACGACCCGGTTCGATTCCCATGGGTTCAGTGTGTGAAGCCCATTTCTTGTGTCCCCGCCGTGATATTGCTGGGATATTGCTAAAAGCGGCGTAAAACCATACTCATTAATGTCAGACATAGCCTGCATTTTCAGAAAACCCACACGCAACTTTTAACAGCTTCACCCTAAACATATATTAAAACACAATGTGAACAAACCTTTCGCCAACACATCTTTATATTTGTATATTATATTGCTGCAGATGATACAACTTCCTGACGTCCATTCATAGCACACCTCATGGTGACAGTGAAAACTTTCACTCACTCATTCATTGTCGTAGGCTGAGCAGTCCAGTGGTTGAGGTGTTGACTCATCCCACCGAAGACCTTGGTTCTATTCCCTACTATAACATAATGGGTATGGAGAATCCAGAGATATTAAGACCCTAGAGCGATTCCTAACTTGTAAACAACGCATGAGGCGCAACTGTCGTACACCCCCGATATATAGTGAACGTTGTACTTAAAAGCGTAAGACTTAATCTCCCATTGGGTAGTCCAGTGGATGAAGCGTTCACATGTGTGAAACCCATTGCTCACCTTTGCCATGATTTTGCTAGACCATTGCTAGAAACGGCGAAAACCCATACTCACTCACTCATTCATCCTTACTGTTGTCTTTAGGTTTGCCTTAATGCCTCATCGAAACCCACCTGAAAATGGTCATTAATATTACACATACGATCGCTAAAGAAACGAATGGTTATACATGTGCCATGTTAACATGTTAACCCAATTAACAACACATCTCCAGTCTCCTCCATGTACTCATCCACTGTACATGAAGGTTTCTTATGGTGATATAGGATTTATACACCATCAAATGATTCTGTTCAAGTGACATATGGCTACTATACAACAGGCAAAGATCACGCATTATAACGCATGGCAACGCAAACATCACGGGCTCCTATCTACGTCTATGTACTCACAACCAAACTAAATATAGACGAAATTTCACGGCTTATTTCAGTGCTATGGTTGAAATCGACAGTGCGCACGAATATTGTTCTTTAAATAAATACGAACAGAATAACACTAACTTGCAATGAGCTTTGGCTTCCAAAGCACGCTCTCACTACTAGATGTGACGTCATTAGCCTGCACTCTTTACTCCAGGAAGTGACGTCACCAGTCATGTCTGTGTTCTGAAGCTGCATCGGTGGGCTTGTAGTGTAGTTAACTCACAAGACAACGACAAGTAGCTGTACAAGCTCGGAAAATAGATTCGATGTTACACATCTTCACTTCAAAATATACATGCATAACTATAATTAAACATTTGATTGTTGCATTGGTGAATTATGCTCGAACTCCTTTGGCCTTTGGTATTCGGTAATGGTATCCGGAACACTTTGAAAACTGCGTACTCCATTTCCAATTTTGCGCTGTCATTCCGACTCTACAAATATGCTACACACTTATAATTCACTCATACAATTCCACTGCAACAGCTACAGATATTCATCACGTGGTTATTAAGACCTCCATTTTCATGATAACCGGAAATCGTCTGCTTCAGGTTAAATGAAGTTCATAGGTGATGTCTGTCGCAAATTCGATCATGTTTCCTCATCGCTGCCGATTTGTCCATTACCGGAAATCGTCTGCTCACAGTCGGATGAAGGTCAAATAGATGTAAATGAAGGTCAGTCCCTAAAGCCGAACAAGTATTTTTCCACTGGTGTAGAATAGTGGGGTTGTATCCCCCTTTCTTCTCGTAGTTCCTCTGCTGGGAAGAATGCCGGCGGTTCTTCCTTTACCTCCACGAAGCCGAAGTATTTGACAAGTGCGACTCCCGGGATCCATAGAACAGAGGCCAGGATGAGGACAACAGCCATGATCTGACACCACCATGGCCAGGGCAGGAGCACGGGCATGCCCTGTAAACAACAAACGTGATGTGATAACTTGATTATGTATCAAATCACATCCAGTGCAATGGAAGAGGAGAAAAGGGTATATCATCCACACAACACTCATGTCACCAGATCGTCAACTTTACCTATCCTAGCCTCTTCGCGAATATCTTGTGATTTTGAGTGATCCATTTATGAAGTTTCCACTGCAGTGTTGCCTTTTAAGCCAAATGGGATCAGTTTCGTCGGATATTCGAAACTGTTTATTCCCCAGCATTCAATGATTATTTGAACTGCTTCGATGTTTCTGTTGATGGAGTGAAGTCTAAGTTTCATCATAAACCGGGTAGGATTGACCAAATATGCTGGACCAATTTTTCAATCCATGAACGAACAACCGGAAAATATGTACCTTCATTTCTAGATAATAAATACATTGCATTATCAGCCTGAACATTACAACTGAGTGGAAAAGGTAAATATTATATAACAAATGGATTGATCATTGGAGCTCAGTGAGGACACCTAGTTTTCACGAAGAGAGTTATAATAAAGTAACAAAATCTGTATTCTGGAGTACCAGTTCTGATATTCTTCTATACAACAAAACATATCGATAATAATCTGACAACTTCTTTCACTCATTCAGCGAATGCCCATGTTGGGAATCGAACCCAGGTCTTCGACGTGACGAGCTAACGCTTTAACCATTAGGCTACCCCACCGCCCCTTAGTTAAGAGAGATATAGGATACACTGACTAGTAGTTAGACGATTCTACATCACACAGAAGACGCGGGTTGTATTTCCGCAGGGAAACAATTGCAGTGGGACAGAATGGGCTTCACACATTGTGACATTGAATTCTTCGATGAAAGCAACATGTAACATTACTCACTCACTACATCACACAGTGTAGAAGAAAAGGAAAATTAAACAAAGCATTAAACAAAGCGAAGCCTGTCTGATGTCATTAGGTAAAACAAATTTGTAAGTAAAAGGGCTAAACCACTTTCCTTATTCACCAGGAATCCTCGCTATCAGCGGAGTGCATTCCCAATATACTATAAACATGTCTTTACGAAACATTATTCAACAGTGAAGATACTAGGAGTTGGTAAGGTAAGAAAATCCTGCCCAGCCAGTGAGGCTCGTCACAAATACATGCACGGGCAAATCAATTATTCACCTGAAAACACCTACGGGCCATTTTGTCACTGGGGCGTCAAATTTGGAATTGTCTGATATAAAAAAACATGGAATATTGCTCGATATAAACAGATTACTGGATGTCATTCAAATAACCAAACGTTAAACAGGCCTGTGCGTATGGCTTGCGATGTACATATTCCATTTCCATTGCAATATACATATTCTGTGTCAATTGCAATATACATATTCCGTGTCAATTGCAATATACATATTACGTGTCAATTGCAATATACATATTCCGTGTCAATTGCAATATACATATTACGTGTCAATTGCAATATACATATTCTATGTCAATTGCAATATACATATTCCGTGTCAATTGCAATATACATATTCTATGTCAATTGCAATATACATATTACGTGTCAATTGCAATATACATATTCCGTGTCAATTGCAATATACATATTCTGTGTCAATTGCAATATACATATTACGTGTCAATTGCAATATACATATTCCGTGTCAATTGCAATATACATATTCCGTGTCAATTGCAATATACATATTACGTGTCAATTGCAATATACATATTACGTGTCAATTGCAATATACATATTCCGTGTCCATTGCAATATACATATTCCGTGTCCATTGCAATTTATATAACCCTTTTCCATCTATCAATATTCCGTTTCTTGTAAACGACTTCGTTGTCATTCGAGCCACCGCTGTTGTTCCTGATGCCGGTCTTAAGGGATGGTTTCACAACACAGACCTGACAAACAGCCAGTTCCTGCTCTTTTGACCCCCATTAATAACGCGGTATTGATCAGTTAATGGAACCCTCGTTACAGCAATGCTTTCCATCGTTTAGCCACCACGTGACAAGAGTCTTTATAGCCTGTCTACAGACTTGTCGATATATTTGCATACTCGTTTGGAAGAAATAAGAAAATATTGTTGGGTCAACATTCAGTACTTTGTGCAAACTGATACTTCGAGACACGGTATTACATTGGTACAATGCCACTTGAGTTTTTATATATTCATCACAAAGAAATCAGCAAAAATAACCCCTAATGTTCAACATTTTTAAAAATATTCAAAGGTAACTGTATTTTGGGGCACCTTTACCTTGTTAAAAATTAAAATTAAGTGAATGTTTCAGTCCCTTTGGTTATCCTGGATGCTCAGATCTCAATGAGTGAGTGAGTGAGTTTAGTTTAACCCCGTTTTTAGCAATATTCCAGCAATATCACGGCGGACTACCCAAGAGATGGGTTTCTCACATTATACCCATGTTGGGAATCGAACCCGGGTCTTAGGCGTGACGGGCGAACGCTTTAAGCGCTAGACTACCCCGTCAGATTTCAATGCCTTGTTGCGTCGCGAAAAACAGTTGCAGGTTGCTTTGATAAATAAGTCATTAACAAAACAGCCGTAAATGTTTTGGAAGACATTCCATCGGGAATAGTGGTGGTTAGGGTAATGAGATTTCGATTTCGGTTTAAAGTTTAAAAAATTGTGTTCGGAAAAACGTAATGGTTCTGAATTCTGCCGCAAGGACCTTTTCTTATTCCGAGAATCGTCTTTGAAGGGGAAATGGGTTCTATGCCTGGAAATGTTCGCATTCATCACACTGCACAAAATCAAATAGTAACTGATCTGATTAATTGAAAACGCAACCTTGAGTCGATCCCGTTACACAAACACGTGACCCTGTATCCATGGAGTCACGAGGAAGTTAGCTTCCCTCCGTGGCGTACCCTTTATAAAAGCAGATTTGTGCTTAAGTCAAAAGAAGCACGAGATCTCGTCTCGCGAGAGTACATCTGAGACACCGAGGTTGTTACTTGATTGCAGAGTATCTCTGAGACCACTGAAATTCTGCTTGAAATTTGGTTAAATGTAAAACTGTTGATTTCAATCGGAGAACACAAAGCTCTCCGGCTCCACAGCAGGGTCGTGCTTAATCAGTAATCGATATAGGTTTCATGGGGATGTAATCTCCTTACAGCGGGTTTCCAATACACTTGAGATGGAAGCCAAAGATTCACTTGCATTTAGTCAATATTTTGATTCTAGTCGTGGTAGCGTGGTTTCTTCAGTCAGTATGGGTTATATTTGATTGGAGACCGAACCGTCCAATGTTCATTTAATAGTTAACATGTTGTCATTGACGAGCGACAATGAACATGTGTCCAAATAATGACAATCACTACACAATGCAACAGATTGTCAGGTACCGAACGTTTACAGTGCTGGGACCACGTGCACGAGTAAGTTATCTTAGAGCTACGACTATCTTAGGTCTATGTTAGAATATCGGCGTTACGATCATCGTAGCGATAAGATTATTATTCTCAGCGCCATATTGTCTTGTACCGAACATTTACAGAGCAGGGCCCACACGCACAAAGCTATCACAGCGCTACGACTATCTTAAGACTGTGCTAGAGTATCGAGTGAGTGAGTGAGTTTAGATTTACGCCGCTTTTAGCAATATTCCAGCAATATCACGGCGGGGACACCAGAAATGACCTTCACACATTGTGCCCATGTGGGGAATCGAACCCGGGTCTTCGGCGTGACGGGCGAACGCTTTACCCACTAGGCTACCCCACCGCCCCTTCAAAGACTGTGAGACACATAGTAAACTAAACAGGTTAGTGATCATAAATATTTTAGGGATATTTTTTGGCAATGGAGACTGATCACACAATTTAAGAAAATACCCCCAAAGTGTTCATCATCAATTTTTCTAAATGAGTGTTCAGTATGTGGTCCCTTGTTATGTAGAATAATAGTATATATCGAACCTGGGTCTTCGGGGTGACGAGCGAACGCTTTAACCACTCGGCTACCCCGCCGCCCTCTAGAGTATCGAAGTTACGATAAGCGTAGCGTTAAAATCGTTACACGTTGCTACAGATTGTCACGTACCGACTATATAGACCTTCTTTAGAGCAGGGTCACCTTGTACAATGCTATCTTACCTCTACGTTACACGAAACTCTCATGCTCGAACATAAACTTGAGACAGTCCAGAACCGCTGACTTAACGCTCACGTACACGCATACGCATACGCACACTCAAGTCTACTCGCAAACATTCAAGCACACTTTCAAGCATACACACACTTGTATTAACTCTGATACAGATCGTTCAAGCTGGCACTACAGTATTGAGAACATGCACATACAAACGCGCATGCATACTTCCTCTTACATGTGCGTTGAGATTGACATCGTAGCAATCACAGGCAACGCTTACGGACCAACGTGTATCTACCTGCTCAGCGTCCCACGCCTCGTACGCTACTCCCTCCTTGAAGATGGCGAAGAGGCTGGCCACGAAGATGACAAACATGGCGGTGGGCGCCAGAAAGCGCCAACAGAACAGGAAGAAGTAGCTGGGACGAGTACCCAGCATCAGTTCAATGTCCTCGCTCAATCTGGAAGCAGAGTTAGACGTGTGAGTGTGTTGGGTTTATAAGTACAGTGAGTGATTATTGCTTGATGTGTGAGGAAAAGCCCATGGACAAAATACTTTGTTGACTTTTGTCACTTAAAAGGCGACACACACAATCATGGGTTAAACCTGCCTATAGTGGCTCCTGGTACGGTGGTGTTTGTACCACTTGCCCACCTTTACTGCAGCATTTTAGTCTAAAACAACGAACTACGGTTATAACGAACTACAACGAGTCCCTTTGAGTTCGTCATAACCGTACGCCTATACTTAGGGTGGCACGTCCTAGGATCACTTCCGGTTCGAACCGGAGCTGGGCATTGTATCCCGGATGGATATCGGCACTGATCTCGGGTTGATCTAAGGTGGATCCTGGTATGATCTTTGCAGTGGGTGGATCAGCATGGTGATCCTGATTGTGTTCCTGTGAGGATCCCAGTTTCTCCTTTTGTGACTTTGGCAGTGATCATACATGCATTCCGATTGGATCCAGGGTGGATACCATATGTACTCTGATAATGATCTTATCAGTATTACTATGTCCATTCCCGGCAGTGATCCGATATGTGTTCCGGATGGATTCTGTGTGGATACTAGATGCACCTTTATAGTGATCCTGGCAGTATTTCTACATGTGTTCCATGGGGACCCTTGTTGTGATCCTATGTGTATCAAAGAAGGAGCCTGGCAGTGATAACTAATGTCCTTTTGAAGGAGCCTGGCAGTGATAATTAATGTCCTTTTGAAGGAGCCTGGCAGTGATAATTAATGTCCTTTTGAAGGAGCCTGGCAGTGATAATTAATGTCCTTTTGAAGGAGCCTGGCAGTGATAATTAATGTCCTTTTGAAGGAGTCTGGCAGTGATAATTAATGTCCTTTTGAAGGAGCCTGGCAGTGATAATTAATGTCCTTTTGAAGGAGCCTAGAAGTGATCCCAGAGTCAGTGAGTGAGATTAGTTTTACGCCGCACTCAGCAATATTCCAGCTTTATGGTGGCGGTCTGTAATTAATCGAGTCTGGACCAGACAATCCAGTGATCAACAGCATGAACATCGATCTGGAAACCGATGAGTGATCCCAGGCGTAACCTTGACCATCCTGCCTCATTTAATTGTTTTCTAATTATTGTGTGTACAGATTATCTCGACCTCGACTACTCACTGTTTCAGACCGTAGATGTAGGACACGGCGATGCATTCTGTGAAGGCGATGATGAGGAGGGGGATGTTGGCCGAGAAGGAGTCGAAGAGGGAGAAGACGTAGGGTCCGGTTGTCGTCCCGAAGCAGAGTGAGACAACACAGGAGACGAGGCACACGATCCCTGTACAAGAGAGGAAGGTAAACCTAGTACACTCCACACTACACAGAAAAAAACAGTAGAGGTCTAGTACCCACTGTTATATAGGGTTTAATCCCTTATTAATATTATTGTATTTGTTTGTTGTTTAACACCCCACTCGACAATATTCCAGCTAAATGGTGGCGGTCTGTAAATAATCGAGTCTGGACCAGACAATCCAGTGATCAACAGCAAGAGCATCGATTGGGATACGATGGCATGTATCAACCAAGTCAGCCAGCCTGACCACCTGATCCCGTTGGTCGCCTCTTTCGACATGCATTGGTTGCCGAAGACAAATTCTAACCCGGATCTTCACGGGTTTCGCTTATTATTAGATTAGGTTGAATGTCCGTGATTATATTTTTCTGAATCTCTTCCCTGCGCTCCCGTCGTTGTCATGTCCCGAGGGCATTTGAGTCGTTTATTCTTTTTATAGACGGAATAATAACTATGTCTATATTTTATAAAGATCATGTCAGCTTTGAGAAAAATAGAAGTTCGAACTGAAATCCCCGCCACAGAGAGTCAAATTATTTTTAAAATCTAAACTTTTCATATTGATGAGTGGGTACCTGTACAAGCAATATTCTCTATATCGGTCAGTCACTCTAGTCTTGACCAAACACACAATTAGTTCACAGCACAAATTGTGATCCACGCCCTCAGGTCATATGCTGCCAAACCGGCGTTATAAGCACTCAATCCTGAAATAAGTCTTCGATATAGCTCTCCCAAAGCGGAAACCCCAAAGGGTGTAGCACCACCAGTAAATATATAACGATAAAGCTAGAAAATAGCCTGTCTCAACCACCTGATGAAACAGATCCCGTTGGCATAGTTGCGAATATATGAAAGGGGCACTGAAAATCGCTGATGACACCAGGTGTTCTAGAACAGGTCAGCCTATCCTGTCCTAACGGTAGCATCCGCCACTCAGAGCAGGTCAGCATATCCTGTCCTAACGGTAGCATACGCCACTCAGAGCAGGTCAGCATATCCTGTCCTAACGATAGCATCCGCTACTCAGAGCAGGTCAGCCTATCCTGTCCTAACGGTAGCATCCGCTACTCAGAACAGGTCAGCATATCCTGTCCTGACGGTAGCATCCGCCACTCAGAGCAGGTCAGCATATCCTGTCCTAACGGTAACATCCGCCACTCAGAGCAGGTCAGCCTATCCTGTCCTAACGGTAGCATCCGCCACTCAGAACAGGTCAGCCTATCCTGTCCTAACGGTAGCATCCGCCACTCAGAGCAGGTCAGCATATCCTGTCCTAACGGTAGCATCCGCTACTCAGAGCAGGTCAGCCTATCCTGTCCTAACGGTAGCATCCGCCACTCAGAACAGGTCAGCCTATCCTGTCCTAACGGTAGCATCCGCCGTTCAGAGCAGGTCAGCATATCCTGTCCTATAGGTAGCATCCGCCACTCAGAGCGGGTCAGCCTATCCTGTCCTAACGGTAGCATCCGTCACTCAGAACAGGTCAGCCTATCCTGTCCTAACGGTAGCATCCGCCACTCAGAGCAGGTCAGCATATCCTGTCCTAACGGTAGCATCCGCCACACAGAGCAGGTCAGCATATCCTGTCCTAACGGTAGCATCCGCCACTCAGAGCAGGTCAGCCTATCCTGTCCTAACGGTAGCATCCGCCACTCAGAGCAGGTCAGCATATCCTGTCCTAACGGTAGCATCCGCCACTCAGAGCAGGTCAGCATATCCTGTCCTAACGGTAGCATCCGCTACTCAGAGCAGGTCAGCATATCCTGTCCTAACGGCAGCATCCGCCACTCAGAGCAGGTCAGCATATCCTGTCCTAACGGTAGCATCCGTCACTCAGAGCAGGTCAGCCTATCCTGTCCTAACGGTAGCATCCCCCTCTCAGAACAGGTCAGCCTATCCTGTCCTAACGGTAGCATCCCCCTCTCAGAACAGGTCAGCCTATCCTGTCCTAACGGTAGCATCCCCCTCTCAGAACAGGTCAGCCTATCCTGTCCTAACGGTAGCATCCGCCACTCAGAGCAGGTCAGCCTATCCTGTCCTAACGGTAGCATCCGCTACTCAGAACAGGTCAGCCTATCCTGTCCTAACGGCAGCATCCGCCACTCAGAGCAGGTCAGCCTATCCTGTCCTAACGGTAGCATCCGCCACTCAGAGCAGGTCAGCATATCCTGTCCTAACGGTAGCATCCGCCACTCAGAGCAGGTCAGCATATCCTGTCCTAACGGTAGCATCCCCCTCTCAGAACAGGTCAGCCTATCCTGTCCTAACGGTAGCATCCGCCACTCAGAGCAGGTCAGCCTATCCTGTCCTAACGGTAGCATCCGCTACTCAGAACAGGTCAGCCTATCCTGTCCTAACGGCAGCATCCGCCACTCAGAGCAGGTCAGCCTATCCTGTCCTGACGGTAACATCCGCCACTCAGAGCAGGTCAGCATATCCTGTCCTAACGGTAGCATCCGCCACTCAGAGCAGGTCAGCATATCCTGTCCTAACGGCAGCATCCGCCACTCAGAGCAGGTCAGCCTATCCTGTCCTAACGGCAGCATCCGCCACTCAGAACAGGTCAGCCTATCCTGTCCTAACGGCAGCATCCGCCACTCAGAGCAGGTCAGCCTATCCTGTCCTAACGGTAGCATCCGCCACTCAGAGCAGGTCAGCATATCCTGTCCTAACGGTAGCATCCGCTACTCAGAGCAGGTCAGCATATCCTGTCCTAACGGCAGCATCCGCCACTCAGAGCAGGTCAGCATATCCTGTCCTAACGGTAGCATCCGTCACTCAGAACAGGTCAGCCTATCCTGTCCTAACGGTAGCATCCCCCTCTCAGAACAGGTCAGCCTATCCTGTCCTAACGGTAGCATCCCCCTCTCAGAACAGGTCAGCATATCCTGTCCTAACGGTAGCATCCGCCACTCAGAGCAGGTCAGCATATCCTGTCCTAACGGTAGCATCCGCCACTCAGAACAGGTCAGCCTATCCTGTCCTAACGGTAGCATCCGCCACTCAGAACAGGTCAGCCTATCCTGTCCTAACGGCAGCATCCGCCACTCAGAGCAGGTCAGCCTATCCTGTCCTAACGGTAGCATCCGCCACTCAGAGCAGGTCAGCCTATCCTGTCCTAACGATAGCATCCGCCACTCAGAGCAGGTCAGCATATCCTGTCCTAACGGTAGCATCCGCCACTCAGAGCAGGTCAGCCTATCCTGTCCTAACGGTAGCATCCGCCGTTCAGAGCAGGTCAGCATATCCTGTCCTAACGGTAGCATCCGCCACTCAGAATACACATGAGTTAAATGTTTGTTGAAGTAGATATATAGTGATCTTACCACATACGACTTCCTTCCTGATGCGGGGGAACAGCATCATATCGTTGATAGATGTGAGAGCGCCCTCTAACGTCCCAAACATGGAGTCAAGGCCTAACGTGAGCAGCATGAGGAAGAACAGGACTGCCCAGAGCGGAGCCACGGGGAACTGGTTGATGGCGTCTGTGAAGGCGATGAACGCCAGACCCGTACCTGAAGCTGACTGCAAGATACTTTTATTATTACACACTCCATTTGGTTTTAAAAGGCAGTTTAATCAGTTGCTGACTGAGCATATATCAAAATAGGTTATCTGTAGTGTCATCATGGACGATATTTTTTTCCCCTACAACAAGCAGATCCCGGTCTGGCTAAGGGACGCAACTCAATCCGTTTTAAAGAGGCTCATCAATTGTGAACTGAAATAATATCAGAATAATCTGTCTGTGGTGTCATCACTGAAGATCATCTTTTCTCCTACAATAGCAGACCCCAGCTCGGCAAAGGTACACAATATATAAGAATAGTTCATCTGTGGTTTCATCTTTCATTACATGTTCTCCTACAACCTTCAGATCCGGCCCAGGTAAAGGAAACTACTCCGTGCAACAAATTGATACAATATAGACCACCTGGTCATCCATGTCAAACTTGTTAACCTGAGTTGTTAAAAAGTTGTATCAGCTGTCTTTGCCTCAGATAAATGTAAAACATGAAGACAATTCTATAATAATGCATAATGATTTTAATGATTTTGGCGGCCATCTTGAAATTGGCGGCCATTTTGAAAATGCCACAAGGTAAACTGTGCAGAACTTTGTATCTTGCACATAACAATGATGTTCTGAACCTTTCCTGAAAAATTAAGCCTTCTACTATTTTTTAACAATGTTACCTATTGTTTGTGTCAAATGCTCCTGGCCTATAAGGTGACGAAAGAGGGAAAATGATTGATCAAGCTTAACGATACATCAAAAAGGGTAAATGTTATGACTTATACCACACATTTTCCCTGGAGCTATTACAGTAAAGTAACAATCATTGGTATCGATCTTTGTTTTAGACATCTGAGAGGAATGAATCTATTCATAATTGATAGGATCTTTGCATCGTCTCTCACCCACTCACTTGGGCTAGACAGAGGTACGTTAAGCTGATCATCAACATAGGCATTTAAGCTCGTTGTTCCTTGCCAATCTATAAGGGCAGCTTACCTCTTCAATGAGTTTCTTAAAGTTACACTCCGAGGTATTGTGAGAAGACTCGAGGTGTGGACCCATGGTCGAGTGGTTGGTGTGGTCAGCTATACACTGTTCAAAGGCCATCGTGGCCTTGAAGCCTGGAGAGTGAGGCAAAGTTGAAATTAGGACTGAATAAATTAGCTGAATAAATAATTATGAATGTGGTCAACATGCTCATAATATACGTCATATATCTATTTATCTGTGAAGATCAGGGTTAGAATTGGTCTCTAGCAACCCATGGTTGTCGTAAGAGGCGACTAACGGGATCGGGTGGTCAGGCTCACTGACTTGGTTGACACATGTCATCGGTTCCCAATTGCGTAGATCGATGCTCATGCTGTTGACCACTGGATTGCCTGGATCAGACTTGATTATTTACATGCCGCCGCCATATCGCTTGAATATTGCTGAGTGCTGCGTAAAATCAGTTTAACCTTGGGAGTTACGAACGCCTAAGCCATACTTCTTTGTGAACCGAGTCTTAGGGTGTTGTATATACATTCTGTTTGCTACAGATGCTGAACCCTTTAAAACTGAGCTTTGTTTTGATGGTTAGTGGACCGGAATGATAACACAGGTTGGTCGTTAAATAACAAGTCCTTATATTTATTCATTGACATTTTGGGTTGTCCATATATTGTTGCATTGTGAATAGGAACACATGGCACACTGAAAACCAACCTCATCTTACACCTTCAATGATAATATGCCGTTAAAGCAACATTTAAACCTCCCAAAATAACACGTGTATTTCATGAAAGTGGTTTGCCTTTGTGAATCATAACAACATAATGTCACATTCATCTGAAACAAAACACACAAATCTGTTTATCGTTTATACATGAATGTTTTCCCCAAAATATTTTATTATTCGTACAATCGGATTTTAATGTGAACCAATAACATTCAGGCTATAAGATTCAGTAAATGACAAATTGATTGAATACTAACTAAATCCTCATCTGTCCACGCCTGTTACACTCAAGTAGTAAATGTCCAACGTACTCACTCACTCAACTTCTTGACACCTCCCCCCCAAAAAAAAGAAGAAGAAGAAAACAACAACCCCCCAAAACCCCCAAAAACAACAACAAAAAACAAAAAAAAAAACCCCAAACAAAACAGTTCTCAAACTTAGCGAGAGAACGTATGTATCGCTATTGTCTGCCCGCCTCTGGGATTTCAAGATCAAAATACCAAATTCAAGTCAAAATATACTGGGTATATATAACATCTATATTATCGCCGCATCAACATCCCATGTTAAATAAGTATATGTACACCACGGTTTCCAAAACGCTTTGACACTTTGATCTGAAATATACTTTCATTACAACTTGGAACTTGGAAATTCGGTGACTGACATTGGGATACAGGATATATCCTGATACGAGATCTTTTTATCCTCCTGTCAATGTTATAAGCCTGGCGTTCATCAACGATCTTGTAAAAAGGATGAGTAATGAATACATTTAATCAGTGTGTACAGATGAATTTTATTATTCGTTTGTGACATAGTAGAATTGAGATTTTTTGTCGCTTTTTTACGGTCATGTCCAATATTCTCTAAACTTTGCAACAAAAGATCTGAAAATCTCATTTGTATTGCAAATCGACCTCAACGGCGCCACATCTGCCAAAATAATCCTGATTTAAACTTGTTACAGCAATGTTCAATCACACAAAAAAGCCAGGTAAAAAACCCACCATTTGTTCAGTTTTTAACTCAGACGCGATCGTATAATGGGATAAGGTCGGCGACTTAAACGTAATGCTCATCGCCATTGTCTGATATAACCAGACTTATTTGACAATAGCGATCTTGTGTAATTGTATCTAACTGACTTGCCTTGTCTGTTAAAATACAGGGGTTCCAGAGAACACAAAAGGCTATCATCAGCCGCTGGTTCTTGTAATCTCGTGTATAAACGCCATCTAAGGGCGGTTGTGTATACGCCACCTAGCGGCTTCAATGCAAGGGCGAGTAATTAGGTTGGCTGTAATGGCGGTGTTGGAGAGATCATGATCCATTGGTTGCAATTCTTTTCATCCCAAATTTGTTTGTAAGTCAATCAGCTTTACTAGACTAGTCAAATTTCTCAGAAATGTGAATGCATGAGGCATTTTTGAGTAAAAGCAAGCAAACAACATTTTCTGGGGTAGTTTTTCGTGCTGAATACGAATCTGTTGTTTGCTAAGCTCAAAAATGCCTAATTAGGTCACAAATTGGGTTCAAAGGTCAATGAGTGCAAAATTCAATTTTTTAAAAAAGTGTTTTATTTATCATTCTCCATCCATACAATGAACTCAGTTTACAATATATTGATTAATAATGGTACCACAGGATTTCAAAATGTTGGATTTCATGGAAATGCTGAAGGAAAAATTTCGTATTTTTGCAAATATCTTCCTTATGGAGCGACTTTTAGTATTTGCGTGAAGAGCTACTTTTTACAAACATTTTTGCTCAAAATGCAAAGCAAGGCTGAATCTTTTCCTTTTGTTGACAGAATTATATTCCAGACAAACTGTTTAGATCACAAAATTTGCATATTAAGCGCATAATTACTTCAAAGGTTAATGAGTGTGACAGGATGTGATAGGCATTTTTACATGTATGCCACACGAATGCTTTTATCCTGCTTCACATGCATGTCAAATGAAACTGCTTTCATTCATGTAGTGAGTTTGATTAATGATTTTAGCAACAATTACCCACAGAACAGTTCAGGAAATCACAGAAACAGGTGGGAACCCTATCCGATAATGTGTCAAATACATAGTATGAAGATGAAGGCGAAAGTGGAACATAAATGCATACAAGCCATGTTATGTGCTATGACTGAAGGATCGAGGCTGTACTAAAAGACTTTCCTATCACATGTTTGATTTTAGGAATCTTTGTGCTGGAGGATTTTGTTAGTTGACGCACTGCTTGTACTTTTTTATTCAAAAGGTGCAGTGTGTGTGTACCAGGAGAGGTCATCAGTGGCGGTATATACGTAGCACTGGTGTAAGTTTGTTTCTATTCACAGGCCTAGGTTTATCATTTGAGCTTTGTATCATATGTCAGGAAACCAGTCAGTCTAAAAATACCCTCTACAACCAGACAGAACTGGGCATCTCATCCATCTTTGAGGCCACCCAGCTCAGGCACAAATTGAAACATTGCAAAGTTCGTTCATCTGTAGACAGGCTTTCGTTCCTCTTTGAAGAACCTCCTGACTGCAACCCTAATCTAAAATGGCACAAACTCTGTTATTCAGCATACACACATTAGGGAAAAATAAATGTAAGGCTTGCCAAGGTACAGTCCAATGCTTCACAAGGAAATGAGCAGACTGGTCTTTCAGATGAAGGATACCGCTTTTTACGCAGGGTTACTTCAACAGTGAACTTGACGTTGTGTATTTTCTGTCACAGCTCCGAAAGCAAGCAGAAGACGAGCCATGTTTCTAACATAATTATACATTCTAAAGTGTGCACAAATGCAAAATATGCATACAAGGTCTTTGAACGTATTATAGACGTGAATGATTTAATAGCAGCCGAAGCATGCTATCACATCTAAGTTAATTTCTGTGGGATGCCAAAAGGGCAGAAACTGACAGCAAATGAGCTGATATGGCCATGGCTTGGTTGTGTCAGGAGTTATGTCACCGTGCAGAGAATGGACACATATTTGAATTGTCTGCTGTGTTCATGAGATACAAAGAATTAGCCAGTGAGTCAGACTCTATCATCCCACCATCATATTTCAGTAGACAGGGGACTTCAAGGGACCTTTATCAAAGTGCATTGGGGTCACTTATGAATTTGTTGTTCTTGTCACTGGAGCACGTTGCAGGGATATGTCAGATCCGGGATTCAAATGTTGTGACGTCAGTGAAGAAGTAGAGTTGGCCAGTGTACCTCCTTCTGAAGAACGTGAAATAGGCGTGTATCTGACGTTGAACGGATTAAGAACACAGGTGTTCGTAGTATGGGGCAAGACATGGCCTACAGTGTTTGCGGGGACAAGAAAGCACCACATAAACATGTTGGTATGGGTATGACCCTTCACCAATCAACATGCACAGTCAAGAAAACTAGTTGAGCTATACCATATAGAATGCTTGGCACATCATCAGTTACACCCGGGTTCTCCAAGCACTAGATCCACAAACTGGGGCAGTGTTTTCAAGGAACTTGGTCTTTGGGAGATTTTCTTTTCCTTTTTTCTTGTGGGCAGGACACACTTTTTGTGAGAACATCAAACAAGATGGACTTTGTACCTTGGTACCTGTACGTTTAACCCTTGTGTTCTTAACCCGTTCTGTGAAGCCCATTTCTGGTGTCTCCCGCCGTGATGTTGCTGGAATAATGCTAAAAGCGGCGTAAAACCAAACTCAGTCAGTCAGTCAGTCTTAACCCGTTCAACATCAGATGCACCTATTTCACCTTCTTCAAACTCATTATAAACATGACTTTGGCCACCAAGTAAGATGTTCAGAAGCATGTACACTGGCCTACTCTGCTTCTTCACTCACGTCACAACATGTGTCATGATATCACTGTGGAGTCTCAGAGCAACGAGTCCACAATGCACTTGTTTCCTTTATCAAATGATAGGATGATAGAGTCACTGGCTAATTCTTTGTACCTCATGAACACAGCAGACAATTTAAATTCGTGTCCATTCTCTGCAGGGTGACGTAACTCCTGAAACAACCAAGCCATGGCTTTATCAGCTCATTTGCTGTCAGTTTCTTCCCTTTTGGCATCCCACAGAAATTTACTTAGACAGTCAATATGATAGCATGCTTCGGCTGCTATTAAATCATTCACGTCTACAATACGTACAAAGGCCTTGTGTACATATTTTGCATTTGTGTACAAATCCACTGTTGAAGTACCCCTGCGTAAAAAGCGGTATCCTTCATCTGAAAGACCAGTCTGCTCATTTCCTTGTGAAGCATTGGACTGTACCTTGGCAAGCCTTACATTTATTTTTCCCTAATGTGTGTATGCTGAATAACAGAGTTTGTGCCATTTTAGATTAGGGTTGCAGTCAGGAGGTTCTTCAAAGAGGAACGAAAGCCTGTCTACAGATGAACGAACTTTGTAATGTTTCAATTTGTGCCTGAGCTGGGTGGCCTCAAAGATGGATGAGATGCCCAGTTCTGTCTGGTTGTAGAGGGTATTTTTAGACTGACTGGTTTCCTGACATATGATACAAAGCTCAAATGATAAACCTAGGCCTGTGAATAGAAACAAACTTACACCAGTGCTACGTATATACCGCCACTGATGACCTCTCCTGGTACACACACACTGCACCTTTTGTATAAAAAAGTACAAGCAGTGCGTCAACTAACAAAATCCTCCAGCACAAAGATTCCTAAAACCAAACACGTGATAGGAAAGTCTTTTAGTACAGCCTCGATCCTTCAGTCATAGCACATAACATGGCTTGTATGCATTTATGTTCCACTTTCGCCTTCATCTTCATACTATGTATTTGACACATTATCGGATAGGGTTCCCACCTGTTTCTGTGATTTCCTGAACTGTTCTGTGGGTAATTGTTGCTAAAATCATTAATCAAACTCACTACATGAATGAAAGCAGTTTCATTTGACATGCATGTGAAGCAGGATAAAAGCATTCGTGTGGCATACATGTAAAAATGCCTATCACATCCTGTCACACTCATTAACCTTTGAAGTAATTATGCGCTTAATATGCAAATTTTGTGATCTAAACAGTTTGTCTGGAATATAATTCTGTCAACAAAAGGAAAAGATTCAGCCTTGCTTTGCATTTTGAGCAAAAATGTTTGTAAAAAGTAGCTCTTCACGCAAAAACTAAAAGTCGCTCCATAAGGAAGATATTTGCAAAAATACGAAATTTTTCCTTCAGCATTTCCATGAAATCCAACATTTTGAAATCCTGTGGTACCATTATTAATCAATATATTGTAAACTGAGTTCATTGTATGGATGGAGAATGATAAATAAAAATGAATTTTGCACTCATTGACCTTTGAACCCAATTTGTGACCTAATTAGGCATTTTTGAGCTTAGCAAACAACAGATTCGTATTCAGCACGAAAAACTACCCCAGAAAATGTTGTTTGCTTGCTTTTACTCAAAAATGCCTCATGCATCCTTAAAATCCACATTTCTTAGAAATTTGACTAGTCTATACACCCTACTCTTTTCAGCATTTGGTCGGGTAGGCAAGAGGTTAAAGCGTTCGCTCGTCACGCCAAAGGCCCGAGTTTGTTTCCGGACACGGGTAAAATGTGTGAAGCCGATACATGAAGATTATGCTGGTATACGGCAAAAACAATATTCACTCACTGTCGGTGTAGTGTATTGTTTCCTTTAAACGACATTGACGTGCTCCATAAACATAAGTATTATTTGAATGCGCTGAATTAAAAACAAAACAAACTTTATTGGAAAGTTTCTTAATTCCGTGTACTATGAGAGATTTTGGTCAGATATCGCCACACTGTGTATATTTTGTTGTTTATATGTGTATGTGAAAGCGTTCCTGCATGAGTTCTTGAAAGTAAATGTCCCTAAAGCGAAGTTTTTCGGACTAAATGGGTTACATTTATGTAGTTAAGATGTTTCGACCAATATTAGACAATAGAGATCCCCTTTCTCCCGAATTCCAAAGATTCCAGGAACTGTTGGCAAGATCCACTCCACCGTCGACCTTAAGTGCGGTCCAGAATAGCTACAACAATATTTAATTTGAGCGGTAAATCTGAAGTAAAAATACAAACAGTATTGGAAGGTGAGGTCACCACGAGTCTGCTTGAAGCTAAAAGAATCAATAATTTCTTTGAAGGACGCGATAATGGTTCCCCGAAACAAGGTAATCTAATTTATTTAGGACTAAATTTAGAGCAGGGCTTAAAATGTCTCTCTTTGTGCTCGGCTGCTCAAGGTTAGAAAGACAGACACAGTGTCGTATGTTGGGGCAGAGGGAACAAGAGGAGATGAGAATCTGACGGAGGTAAAGAGGAAGTATCACGATAGAGTGTAGAAACTCGGTTTTAACCTATTTTAACCATGGCCATCATTCGTGGAATCTTAGCACCTAACATGTTACAAAATGTTATGTTTTATAACCTAATATAAAGAAATATTCAAGAACACAATGAGGAGAACACTGCTTGTGCCCATATCCGCCTGGAGAAAGCCTATTTTCTTCCTTTTCGAGTCGGGGCGGTGGGGTAGCCTAGTGGTTAACATGCATGGGACACCAGAAATGGGCTTCACACATTTTACCCATGAGGGGAATCGAACCCGGGGTCTTCGGCGTGACGGGCGAACGCTTTACCCACTAGGCTACCCCACCGCCCCTTCAAAGACTGTGAGACACATAGTAAACTAAACAGGTTAGTGATCATAAATATTTTAGGGATATTTTTTGGCAATGGAGACTGATCACACAATTTAAGAAAATAACTCCAAAGTGTTCATCATCAATTTTTCTAAATGAGTGTTCAGTATGTGGTCCCTTGTTATGTAGAATAATAGTATATATTTCACCAGGACTATACGATAAACATATTTCATGCGAGTACAGCAGAGAGCGAGTGATCACATCCTTAACTTACCATCTTGCTGGTGGTGTAAAGCGGTTTGGTGATGTGGACAAAGCGTCCGACCTCGGACCAGGGTTTATATCTTACAGGGGCGGTGGGGTAGCCCAGTGGTTAAAGCGTTGGCTCGTCACGCCGAAGACCCGGGTTCGAATCCCCACATGGGTACAATTTGTGAAGCCCATTTCTGGTGTCCCCCGCCGTGATGATGCTGGAATATTGCTAAAAGCGGCGTAAAACCAAATTCAGTCAGTCAGTCAGTTATATGTTACAGCTGTGTCACAAGCAATTTTACGTGTGTTTAGTAACGTACCTAGCACGGAGAAGACGACGGTGGCGGTGAAGATGGAGGTGAAGAAGTCACAGATGGTGACGAAGAGCGTCTCCTTGAGGAAGTTACTCCTGACTGGATTGTAAGACGACAGTGCGATCAGACAGCCAAACGCCAGCCCGAAGGAGTAAAAGATCTGTGTGGCCGCGTCCAGCCATACCTGGGGGTCCTTCAGCCGGCCCCACTGTAGAACATGTAGACACACATTAGACCCGGAAATAAATCTTATTCATAAATATATATCTACCATGTAAATAATCAACTGCATTGCCCAGAGCAATGCATACTTTAAATATAAAGTTGAGGCAATGAATGAATGAAGGAATGAATAAATGAATGAATGAATGAAGCTGGAGTGGAATATCCTTTTCAATTTATTTCTTGGGGTCTGAGAAACAGTCTTGAGAATATCCTGTTTGGCTCATTATGTAATTGTTTGTGGAACAGTTTTAAAGAAGTGAAATAACCAACCATCTGAATAAACATGTAGGATTATCGTTGATTTTACAAGAAAATATCAAAAAGCAAAACAAACCATAACAAAACGCTCTTATCCAGAATAGAACTTATTGTGTCACCCAAAGCTTTGTCACGCGTGAACAAGAAAATGGAAAGACTTGGCATGAACCGGTGTTTTTCACATTAATACTTAAAAATCTTAATCGGCGGATTTGTGGTTTATTCCATTTACATATTTAGGTATAGCTAGCGATGAAAAATAAATGATATCACTTTGTGCACGTGGTAACGGCAGATATCGGAGATCAGCCATGAGCGCCTTAAAGACAGCCCCAGCTGAATAAATGACCGGACACACGAGACAAGCCATCAAGTTATCAGCTATTCAAGATCCAAACGGTTCTCATGGGGCAGATAAACAATTTGCAGCTGTTATCAGCCTAGTAACGTTTTCATAAGGTTTGTAACTTTCAAATCAAATCCATATCCAAGTGTATATTTATTTTTGACGGGCAGCTCAGTAAAACTCCTTCGTGGCCTCCGTGACAACTCTTATCTCAGACAAAATAAATGAAGTTTCCTGATCTGCAAAGTTTATAGCCCAACTGATGTCTGATGTCTAATTGGTATCTCATTTGAAAGTCATATCTGTGTCTGTAGACACGCGTACCACCATCCCAGATACGGCTCGCGTTAATCATCCTTGTTGGAGTCTAGTCACCTTCCCAACCTTGGGGCCATCGCACTTTAAGCAAGCCTAGTAGTACATTTCTCACTCATACTGCGGTATTTTATGAACATTTTACAAATAGGAATGTGTCTGTTGGTATTATTTATTTCTGGGAATGTTCGGCCCAATATGTGCACAGTTGTTGAACACGAGGTAATATGTCACGTAACTCCTCATATCTGAGTGTCATTGAATAAGAATATACTAAAATCGAGAAAAGATCAGAGTTTTAATATTAGCTGATAACGTTATCGATAAACAAGGGATCTAAGGGATCACAGCCCCAATGAACTATTACAAGGATTAACAAGCAAAGCGCATCTATACACGCTGATGAACTTGCAACGAAATAATCGCTGTTACCAAAGATAAGGCTGACACATCTCTTACAAGATAATCGACTAGCTGTATAGGCAGTCTATTAATTCGGCTGTGATCAACTATCAACTAATATAACTCTCCACAGAGCTAGTAACTTCGGCTTAGTTAGTTAGGGAGAAATGAACACTGATGACACGGTATTCAGATCACTTATTAAATCCCACCAATATTGAGAACCAGGCAGGGTAACAAAAAAGACTATAGTTTGACATCTTTTGGTATGATGAGGCCATCATTCTACTGCTGTTTGAGCGGACACCATACCCACTAGACCTCGGTGAGGAACGTGCAAGGAACGGGTGAAGACATGTTTAGTCTTACCTCTGGCACAAACAGGTGCTCCAGACCCTTCTCGAAGCCGTGCAGCGTGACGCCCCTGAAGAAGAAGATGATCAGCACAAGGTATGGGAACGTCGCCGTCACATACACCACCTGGAGGACAAAAGACGTGAATGTATATTCGAGTTATTTGAAATTCTCTTGTCACATACACCACCTGGAGGACAAAGGACGTGATTGTATATTCGAGTTATTTCTCTTGTCACGTACACCAGCCAAGACCACACAGAACACGTTTGTATATACAAGTTGTGCAGAGGTACAGATAAGCTGCGTATCTGCGTAAATTACGCAAATATTTATGTGAAAACTCAATTCCTATTAAGTCTATTGCGTACAAGTACGCTTCAATTTTTGTAAATACTCAATAGATTTGATGTTATATGCGTACAAACAAAAATAGATAAAATTAACTGAGGTATCGAGAGTTTCTATTTCAGCACCTGGACTTGGCAACTTGCAGTCTTTCTTATCGTTTCTCATATAACAGATCAAATATAAATAACAAATACGTAAACCAATATTTAAACTTTAATATATTTTTACAATCAATGGAAAATGGCAAAATACCCAATTGCGTTTGAGTGAGGTGGGTAAAATATATTTGGTTACTCAAAGGAAAATTAGGATACCCAATTAAGATGAACACAAGCGAGTACATAACTCAATGACCCAAAAGGTTATCTGTAGCTCTGGTTGTGTTTTCTGTTACGCACACCACCAAGAAGACAAAGAACTCGGCTGTTTATACAAATTGGGTCCAATGTCACGTACCCCACCTTGAGGACAGAGGACGTGGCTGTATATATGAGTTAGGTCCCTTGTCACGTACCCCACCTTGAGGACAGAGGACGTCGCTTTATATATGAGTTAGGTCCCCTGTCACGTACCCCACCTTGAGGACAGAGGACGTGGATGTATATATGAGTTAGGTCCCCTGTCACGTACCCCACCTTGAGGACAGAGGACGTGGCTGTATATATGAGTTAGGTCCCTTGTCACGTACCCCACCTTGAGGACAGAGGACGTAGCTGTATATATGAGTTAAGTCCCCTTTCACGTACCCCACCTTGAGGACAGAGGACGTCGCTGTATGTATGAGTTAGGTCCCCTGTCACGTACACCACATGAATGCGTCATACCAAAAGACGTTAAAATATGGTACTTGTTGGTCCCTGCCTGGCGCTCGGCATTAATGGGTACATCAAGGACTGGTCGGCTCGGAGTCAGTATAATGTGTCTGAGTGGGGTAGTCATGCTTCACTGCAGCATGGTATCTCAGTGAGCTAGCACTATAAAACCAGCTTAAGTCTTGGCTAGTACAAGCAGCCGCACATACACATACACACGCATGCACGTCGTCATATGAGCGAAATATTCTCAAGCACGACGATAAACCCAATTTCACCTCACCTCACCCATCATCCATTTGCTGGATATGAGTTGAAGGTATGCCATCTGCCTAAAGCAAGATCTGGACTTAATGTAGCCCACCAACCTGCAGCGTGATGGGGACATAAAGTATCCAATCATCCGATCAACCTGCCCCCGCACAATCTGGACTAAAAAAACATCCCATCAACCCCTACCCGATGTGGACTAAAAATAGCTCAGTAACCTCCAACTAAATATAACATGTCAACCTCCTGCCAACTAAAAGAATCCAGCCAATTCCCCCAGTCCCCTGGAACTAAGGTAACCCATGAGCTGGACGACCCACCTACCATCCATACACATTAACTGTCCAACATCGTCACATGCTTTCAAGTAACCTCTGAAGATGCCCCCGGTGGTAGTTAATTCGGGATATGGAGATTTACAACGTAGAAAGTATATACAAGCACCATCAATCTCATCACTATAACCACACTGAGCCCAGACAGATGCAGCCATAATCAGCAAATAATTCCGCTTTGGCAAATTTCTTCCTCTTCCAGGCACTATAAAGCAGCCCGAGTTGATTGAATACTCACAACTCTCAACATGTAATGGGAATGCAATCAAAGGAAGAATCGATTCATCTGGGGGGACGGGATGGGGGGTTGTGCTGCGAATTGTCAGCCACATGCACATTTGGGGAGGAGGGTACTTGGAGGAGTTAACGTTGATGTCGTCGTCGAATGCAGTGGTGGGAGAGATGGCTTGAGGTAGAGGAATTAGCAGCCCCATGGGAGTGAAAGAAAAGAGGAAGAAAGTTTTACAGGAAACACTGAACGCTCAAATAATTCCATTACTTAATTTGTCAGCGTTACCGCACATTGAAACTCGTTTAGATCAATGATTTTCCCTGAGTTTCGCAATATTCATTTAGAAGTCTGCAGACCCCGTCTCCTTTACACAGTCTTGGTGTTTGTGAGGCTTCCGTATGGGATCAAGGAAACGTGCATGTTGCCACATGGCGAGGAAGTCAATATTACTGCTTGTATTCATCTTAGATAGTGTCACGATGAAGGAACATCTTTGGAAATGGGTCAAGAATGATCAATAACATACTACTGTTATCAACCACCTAGTTAAAAATCATTCATAATTGATATCTAATTCAAAATGGCAGCCTAGTGGTTCTGTCGTCACACAGAAGACCGGGTTCGACTCCCCACATGAACACAATATGTGAAGCCTCATTTTAGTGCTCCTGCCGTGGTAGTTTTAGAATATCGTTAAAATAAGCGTTAATAATACTTACTTACTAACAAACAAAAATAATAACAACAACAAAAAACACAAACAAAATATAAACAAATACAAGAAGAAGAAACAGTGAAGAAAGCCTCACTCTGGGAGAGAGTGAATTGTTTTATGTCTTTTACACAGTGTTTCAGTCATACTGTATAACCAGAGCGTGGGAGGTTAATTCCCTACATCAGCCAAGTGTGAGGAAGAGTGTTTAATTTAACCACGCCTGTGAAAATCACGAACACTGATTTGATGTAAACGAGACAAATGTCCGGAATTGTGAAAAAATGGGATTCGACCCAGAGTCATATTTACGAAGTGATCGTAAAGTTAGCGTTAAAGGGGATAAGCAGCGCTGCTGTCGCTTTGTGAAACCTTGCAAGTAACGGGGACACATGGAGTATGAGTGAGTGAGTATGGTTTTTACGCCGTTTTTAGCAATATTCCAGCAATATCACGGCGAGGGACACCAGAAATGGGCTTCACACATTGTGCCCATGTGGGGAATCGAACCCGGGTCTTCGGCGTGACGAGCGAACGCTTTAACCACTAGGCTACCCCACCGCCCCTGGGACATATGGAGGAAAAGTCACATGAGTCCATACACGGAGTAGCTAGGATTTTTATCACTTAGTCACTCATGCCCTTTTGCAACGTTTTTTGAAAAAATAGACATAGATTCGTTGAACATTACAAGTATTGAAAACATTTTTTCTCCTTTGTGATTGAAGTAAAGCGATCCCTCAGTCCAGAGTGCGGCGTTAAACAACGAACCAGCCAAGTAGCTGTACACGTCGGAGTGTCCCTATGCAAAATGATCAGCTTGCATTAAACTGGAGAATATGTCAGTGTACCTTTAGATTTATTGGGTGAAATGTAAATGTACGTTGACATGGGTATTTGTTGAGGCGATGCTATCTAAGGCAGACAGAGAGCTTCACTTTGCCAGATTAGAAGCCTGTCTGCTCAGAAGGTGGTCAAGAATCGATGGAGTCTTGTACTGATGAATACCAGCCTCCGTAGCAGACGTGTGGTAGTGAATGGTTCTTGTCAGGTAGATTTGGTCTCCGAGGCATCCTCGACATCCCACACACCATCGCGGGGGTCTATGTAAACCATTGATGGACATCATCGTCCCTACACACGCAGACAATTAGGCTATTGATGTTGTTCTAGAGACTCTGGTGCTTGGATTCCTTTGGGGAGGGTCGCTGGTTCAAATCGAACAGGTATCCCCAATGCATCAACCAGTCATCTTGTAATTGTTCCCTGTGCTGGAAGCTAATAATTAATTCAGTGTCGTCGTTAGGTTCAATGGAGATGGTAGTTACGATAGCGTTAATTTACGTCGGGGCAATGACGATGCGCCTGTCTGAACTGATGCAGGAACGTCTTGGAAAGGGATGGAGAGTTGTCAGATGTACTGAACATGCTGGTGTTGAGTCCAGTCAACCAGCAACCTGAGTACATCTCAAGCTCTAAATGGAGCGGGATGAATCTTGTTGAAACACAAGCTATTTCACAGCGGTATATGAGTGAGTCAGTGAGTGAGTAGGTGAGTCTAGTTTTACGCCGCTTTTAGCAATATTCCAGCAATATCACACCAGAAATGGGCTTCACACGTTTTACCCATGTGGGGAATCGAACCCGGATCTTCGGCGTGACGAGCGAACGCTTTAAACATTAGGTTACCCCACCACCCCACACGGCGGTATATGGACACTAAGGGAATACCCTAATGAATTTGTATAATGTAATATTTACAACAGAGGTGACAAATTACAACGTGAACAGTGAAATGAAGCTAATTCAAAGGTTTTACGTATCATCGGACCCGGGTTGGGATTGATCTTCAGTGACCCATGTTGGTAAGAGGCGACCTACGGGATCGTGTGGTTAGGCTCGCTGTCTTGGTTGACACATGTCATTGTATCCCAAATGCGTAGAACGGTGCTCATGATATTCATCACCGGATTGCCTGGTCCAGACTCGATTATTTACAGACCGCTGCCATATAGCTGGAATATTGCTGAGTACGGCTTTAAACAACAACCAGTCAACCAGCCTAAAAATAATATCTCGAGAAGAGACTGACTGACTGACTGAGTTTGGTTTTACGCAGCTTTTAGCAATATTCCAGCAACATCACGGCGGGGGACACCAGAAATGGGCTTCACACATTGTACCCATGTGGGGATTTGAACCCGGGTCTTCGGCGTGACGAGCCAACGCTTTAACCATAAGGCGACCCCACCGCCCCTTCTGGAGAAGAGAGCAGTAATAAGTTCAGTTGAGCAAAAGGGAGATTAAATATGATAATTATTTAAAAAATGCGACTCACTTTTCCCGTGGACTTGATCCCCTTAATGATGCAACAGTAGACGATGATCCACGCTGCTACTAGCCCCACACACATCTTCCAGTTGAGGCTGGGAGGGGACTCCACGGTGGGGGCAGTGTTTAGCGTCTCACGGTACCAGAAGTACGTAGTGGGGCTGCTTTTCTTATGAGGGAGAGAAAGAGAAAACATCAGACAAAAATTGAATAAAAACAAGTAAAAGGAAACAGACTTAGAAGCATCTTTAAATGGTTGGAGCAAGAATTGCATACACGTTGTAAGCAGTGAATCATGCAGTGAATATTCAACCAAACTATTCAGGAATTCAGGTCTCAGATTTTAACTTCAACCATTTATTATAAAACTGGCCCAGTTAGTGAGTGAGTTATAATTTAACGCCACATCGGTGTGTAAACGAGTTCTGAAACTTCGGGAATCAAGAACCATTCCTCATCATGCAGTGTGTTAAAATAATGTAAACAATTTTAATTATAATACAAATGATTGGAAAACATTTAGATTTAGGTAATTTGTTTAAGGGTTTAAGGACATTTTTACAGTGTTGGGTGGAAAGATTTACCTGAATTTTAACTTCTTTGAGTGGCATTTAGAGTGAGTGAGTTTGGTTTTACGCCGCTTTTAGCAATGTTCCAGCAATATCACGTCGGGTGTACACTAGAAAAGGGGGCATATAGAAGTTGGTGTGATAACCAAGGGTAAAGGTCTATGATATACGGCTTCTTTCGTTTACCTGAATTTTGTCTGGCTTTTATGTAGGTGGGGAACAATGTTGTAAACCTGATTGTTTCTTAGTTCGGGTTGGTTGATGAGAATGATGTCTTACCTGAATTGTATTAAGAGAGACATGCACTGACTTGACAAGAAAAACGTCTTACCTCACATTCAGGATCCAGGATAACGGTACTGTTGCCCTCCACGCGATGGGGGCACGACGCCCATGGGAGGGGACTCTGAAAGCTCTGACCGAGGTAGATGAGGCACCATGCCATGATGGTGTTGTAGTAGAGGGCGACGTTGAAGGACACTACGGCAGAGGCGATGCCAAGGCCACCCAGGTAGGGGGACACCTGGGTCCAAGCCCCTATGGCACCTTTCCTCAAACGCTGGCCGATCGCAAGCTCCAGGAAGAAGAGTGGGATGCCCTCAATGGCCAGCATAATGGCATATGGCACCAGAAACGCCCCTGAAACGAATTGAGTGGAATGAAAATAAATATCCGTTGATCAGTATCATATAGTATTCTGAAGAAGTCAAAGAACCTGTGACTTTTCACGGGACTATAATTAATGCGATGTCATGATATAGTAAAGACATACTACACATGTAAGAATTTGTTTTTGACGGTAGGAGTACTTCTCTGCAGCGTCAGGCAAAAATACTTTTTTAGACATTTTTGTAATTGGCGGGTGCTACCGGTAGGGCAGGAGATGCTTCCTCTTTTCGCGAACACCTGGTGTCATCACTGATTTTCAGTGATCCATTCGTATAATTTTCACAGCTATTGTTTCCTTTACACCCAACAGAATTGGTGTCTGATGATAGTCAAGGTAGGGCATTCCTTTGCCCTGACGTTCTATGTTTAACCTTTTCAAGTATTCAGACTAGTTACATGATGGCGGAGAGTAAATAATCAAGTCTGGACCAGACAAACCGCTTATTGACCTATGAGCAGCGATCCACATTACCTCGGGGGATAGTCAGGCCATAGTCACCCAAGGTACCGTGCCATACCAACCGATGCATTAAGTCACTGCGTATGAAAATAATGGGTTACTGGTGACCAGTTCTGACTCGGAACAATAAAATTTGTACATAATTGAAATTAATCAATATGTAAACTATACTAGTCACATAAAGAAACTGTGCATTGTCAAAATATTATCCCAGTTGATAAGTACGATAACAATGTCAAAGGTACATATAAACTTTAATGGAGGGATCATGAGACCATAACAAGTCGGGAGAATTTCAGTTGAAAAGTCAATCAGAATGACGTCACGAGTCCACAAGCGGGACAGGCGTCAAACGACTGCAGGGGTTTGTTCAAGCTGAATAACGGGTATGTCCACCATCGGCATTGAGAACAGCAGTGCATCGACGACGCATAGAGCATATCAAACGTGCAAGGTAGGCTTGTGGGATGTCACGCCAGATTCTCTCAAGTTCTGTTACAAGGTCAAGGACGTTATCTGGCGGATGGGGAAGACGGCGTAGACGTCGATCCATCTCGTCCCAAACATGCTCTATCGGGGAGAGATCCGGTGAATTTGCAGGCCAAGGCAGTAAGTCAACGTTGGGGTGTTGCAAGAAATCCATAGCACCCCTTGCCGTATGAGGGCGGGCATTGTCCTGTTGGAATGTTAACCCAGGGCCATGACGTTGCAGAAAAGGAATTGCCACAGGTCGAAGAATCTGATCCCTGTAGCCCACACCAGTTAAGTTGCCCTGAACAATCACCAAAGGAGTTCATTGGCTTGCTGTTATTCCACCCTAAATCATCACGGCACCGCCACCAAAGCGATTCCTCTCCAAGACACAGGCCTGTGCATAACGTTCTCCCACGCGTCTAAAGGCACGTTGACGTCCATCACTATGAGAAATGTTAAACCTGGTCTCATCTGTAAAAACAACATTTCTCCACCAAAACAAGGGTCTGCGGACATGATTTCGGCACCACATTCGGCGAGCTTGTCGATGACGTTGTGTCAGGATAGGCCGTATGGCGGGACGTCGTGGTCTGATCCCGTGATGACGTAAACGTTGTCGAACTGTGTTGGGGCGGATACGGCGAAGTCCTGGGATGGTTCGGGCAGTCATCACTGCAGTCTGAAACCAGTTGGCGAAGATGGGTAACCCTTATCCATCTGTCTTGTCTTGGCGTTGTTACACGTGGACGTCCAGAACGTGGCCGATCGATGACGTCATTTGTGTTCTGGTAGCGTCTCACCAGTGCAGAAATGGTGTTCCGGTGGCAGTGGAAATGTGCTGCCACTTGTCGTTGAGACATTCCCCCACGGACCTTCCCAATTGCCTCATGACGTTGTGCAGACGTGAGCCTTGGCATGCTATGCGTTTCAATAGCCGTTTAATTTTTTGAACGATCGCAAGGGCAAGGGTTGAGCTTTCCAAAGTGACAGTATTGTGTGGCATTCATTTGCTCTGTTTCTCTTTCCCGGAATGCACGTGCAACAACGTATTGCACGTCTCAAAGACGAACCCACTGACGTCACGGAACGTGGCACGTGCATACATGTTGGACACATGTCACTAATCTCTGAGTTTCCATCCTTATGTGTCTACTCAGGTTTGATAAATTTAGATTTTAAATTTTTGTATGCACAGTTTCTTTATGTGCCTAGTATACCTTTGCAGACTTGTCTCACAGTAATACATCGTTATACCAGCTTCAATGCAGATACAGATGCGATCTTTAAATGTCAAGAGTTTTTTTTTACAAATACAATAGCTGTATTTTTTACAAATACAATAGCACCAGGCAGCTGTATGGCTATGAACCATGAAGATCCGGGTTAGAATTGATCTTCAGTAACCCATGCTTGTCGTAAGAGGCGACTAACGGGATCGGGTGGTCAGGCTCGCTGACTTGGTTGACACACGTCATCGGTTCCCAATTGCGCAGGTCGATGCTCATGCTTTTGATCACTGGATTGTCTGGTCCAGATTCGATTATTTACAGACCGCCTCCATATAGCTAGAATATTGCTGAATGCGACGTTAAAAAAAAACAACCAACCAACCAACCAACCAACCAACCAACTACATGTCCATTAACTGTGACTGTAAACATATAATGGACATATTGTAGCCACTCTAGGGTTAACTTGGTTTACTGTTTCCATCCCAATCGACTAATCCATATTGACTAGGACTGCGCAATATAACCGGTTTACCGGTATTTACCGGTTCAGACATGAAAGCGATACGTATTGCGATACGCTGATCGAAAACCGGTATTTTGACATGCATTCGGAAAACTTCGTAACACTCGAAAATTTTCGGATATTTCCGTTTTTTGAATTGTTCTTTTCCCTGTTTCATTAGTGCCAAATGTTACTTACATTTTTATTTTGTCATGATTAAAAGTTTTGATGAAAGGTTAATCAATCATAGTGATTTTGTTGTTTTTGCTTTAAAATCAAGCATTAACTCGATTATAAGTAGTTTTTGTTAAAAAAAATAATCCTTGCAGTATATTGCAATACATATCGCAATAAATGCTTCCGCATCGCAATATATCGCAATATGAAAATTCTCTGCAATACCCACCCCTAATATTGACCCACCATGAGATCAATTTTTATTTAACGCGAGGGCACATGAAAGTTAAAATACTCAATGTTGACCTAATACATTCCTTAGAATGGTAATTCCTCTTCAAAACGTGGACGTTGTCTGTGTTCCTAATTCTCCGTGGTATTATCAACATTAAACAGGCTTCTTTTCATGTAACTGCTGTTTACATTAGTTTTCAATCTAACTAAGATCCCACAGAGGATTTAACAGGAAACACCATTGTGTTATTGGAAACCGTAATGGGAAAATTATAGGTTGTATTGATTAGCTTCGTTGTCCAACAAGAGGAACCACTACGAGTTAGCTGCATCAACGTCGATGTTTAAACACCTGAGCGAAAGGATCAGTTTACAGTCTATGAATCACTCTGCGGTTGTCTCCCTTCGAAGAGTTCTCCAAAATTAGAGCTAGTAAAACTGACTGGCTGTTTGGTATCGTGATTAGCCGTGGACCTTGTCAATCGATGAGTACAGAATAAATAAACACCTTTGCATCCCTCTTCATCATTTTTCTTGATAATGCTGCTGATACCACTGAAGGTGGATCTACTCGCCTGACAACGCCTGGCACGGACAAGATGGCGTCGGTGGCACGGCTCACGTGTCGAAGCTCTGAATGAGGTGATCTGGTACAACTGTTGACGTCATGTTGCGTGACGTGGATGTGGAATCTTCGGGTTAATCAGAATCATTTCCCGCCCACAATTGAACATGTCGTGCGACAGAAATTACATCGAATTACAGTCACGATCCCTCTGTACACAAATCTGTTTCCAAGGTTATTATCTATAAATATCTTTGTATTTAACGAATAAGTATTATCCTCGTCTTGACATGGACATGTTTTTCATTATGTCGTCTATTGAAGAGACAATACAAAATGATCACGATTCATATTCACTGAATGTGAATATACACGGGTGGCACAGTCGTCAAAGGCCCCGCAATTAGCTGTACAGCGTTGCCTCCCTTAGTCACACCCAAAACCTATCATGTTTCTATTTCTGTCAGCACTATTTGAATTATTGTATTTTCACCGAATTGGAAACGTCTGAGACTTAAATCCCTTTAAACGGACAAGCTTATAATATATCTGGTATACTGTGCAAGCGGCGTTAAACCCATCTCACTCATTCATCACTGTTCATCTCTTAATCGCCTTTCCTAATAGAATTAAAGTAATTCCTCCTTTCATTTCATTCCATTATAAGAAAGGATATATGTTCAAAAGCACAATACTGAAATACTGAGTGAGGATCTGAACAACCAATATCAACCTTTGACATTTCTACACACAAGGCCATCGTACGATGTGTAATTTGGCATTAATGTCTGTTTGTGAACAAGAACGACATGTTGATAATTAAATTTCAATGAACGGACAAATCGTTTTTAATTTTAATCTTAATTTTAATTTTTGGAATCAAATTTGAATCAAACCAGGTGATCTGCGTGTCCTACGATATCGATGCAAGTCCATAACTTCCAATCCTATTTTCAGTGTCCTTAAACGTGTGTTAAGGGATATCCTACATCACCAAGTCAATTGGATATTGAAGTAGTTGTTGACAGCTATCGATCTTAATTGATGCCAACATTGTTTTGGATGTTTAGCGGTCGAATGTCGACTCCAACATAACCATTTCGGAAAAAGGTTGCCCTAAATTTTAATCTTAATTTTAATTTTTGGAATCAAATTTGAATCAAACCAGGTGATCTGCGTGTCCTACGATATCGATGCAAGTCCATAACTTCCAATCCTATTTTCAGTGTCCTTAAACGTGTGTTAAGGGATATCCTACATCACCAAGTCAATTGGATATTGAAGTAGTTGTTGACAGCTATCGATCTTAATTGATGCCAACATTGT